TGTAGGATATGGATCCACGGTTGTCGTGTTCTTCAGCCTGAGTTTTACCCTCACATCATTACACTGCCAGTGCCAAATCTGTCGACCTCCTGTTTGCAGCTGGTGACAAAACATTCAAGGCATCCAGGTCTCCATCGCACCATGGCACCACTGGTGTCGAAGGTGTTGCATGAAAACAACACTTCTGGCAAGTCGTCTTGCTCTGAGACCAGCCTCATGAAGGTCAGATATCGAATTGATGCTGTATTACACGTTGGTGTTGCCGCAAACGACGTAGCCGTAGAAAGCGGTCCTGGGCAGCCGTTTTAACGTAGGGACGGTCACTTGACGTACCACGCTGTCGATGCCGATACCAAACTCTGAGATGTACTCTGGAACAAATTGAATACCCTGGCTACACTAGTCGACAGCTTGCAAACGTTCAGCGACGTTGTTCCGTTGTGGTTCCGTTAGTCCTACGTACCATTCCACAAACTGATCTCAGCACTGGACTATGTAAGCCTATGTTTAAGTATGGAAGTTACTATCACCTTAGCGCTAAGATTTGTGTGGAATGGGGCCCTGGCTTGACTTTGCAGTTCAAAAGTTGCCATCAGAATGATCTGGCACATGTATTGGCCTATTCATGTTTCACATGGAGAACGGCCCGTGAAGAGTCCCGGGTAGAATAGGTCTTCAGCAACCCATACTTGCCGTAAAAGGCGACTATGCTCGTCGTAAAAGGCGACTAACGGGATCGGGTGGTCAGGCTCGCTGACTTCGTTGATACATGTCATCGATCCCAATTGCGTAGATCGATGCTCATGATGTTAATCACTGGATTGTCTGGTCCAGACTCGATTATTTTACAGACCGCCGTCATATAGCTGGAATATTGCTGAGTGTTGCGTTAAACAACAAACAAACAAACACATCACATGGAGAAGTGTTGCTACCTTATGGTTATGCACTTGGACAGGGTTGCGTTTTTACGATTCGCACATTATTAATTTGGTCCCAAATAGAATTATATTCATGTTTTACATATCTCTTATGTGCTATTTGTAAAAGTATTTCATATCGTCGAAACCCTTGTCTTGAGCGCCTCCATGTCAAATCCCCAGTTATACCCAACTAAGTCCATAGTCAGACTCTCATTATATTTATCAACATTTTATCCTAATAAGCTGAACTTGAGTTCAACAGCCAACATGAACTTGCATGAAGTATAATGGCCTTAACATTGGCCTGATAAAAAAATATAACATCATTGTGGTAGGTTTGATTTCTGTTGTCTGATGGCTAAATCAGAGAGTTATAAGGTTGAATCAGGTGTGAAACTGTCTCTGGTATATGACAGCGGTCTGTAAATAATCGAATCTGGACCAGTCAGTCCAGTGATTGACATCATGAGTATGGATCAACGCAATTGGGATACATCAACCAAGTCAGTAAGCCTGACCACCTGTTAGTCGCCTCTTACGAGCATAGTCACCTTTTATGGCCAGCATGGGTTTGCTGAAGACCTATTCTACCCCCGATCTTCACGGGGTGAGACAAGCATGGGTTGCTGAAGACCTATTCTACCCTGGATCTTCACGGGGTGAGGCAAGCATGGGTTGCTTAAGACCTATTCTACCCTGGATCTTCACGGGGTGAGGCAAGCATGGGTTGCTGAAGACCTATTCTACCCTGGATCTTCACGGGGTGAGGCAAGCATGGGTTGCTGAAGACCTATTCTACCCTGGATCTTCACGGGGTGAGGCAAGCATGGGTTGCTGAAGACCTATTCTATCCCGGATCTTCACAGTAGGTATGTATATCTATATCAATATGTATCCCAATGTTTCTTTGTTTCAAGAGTATCTATCATCCCATCACCATGCGTTGTGGTGGGAGCTACTTGTCTACTGTATATGAACAGACTAAAGGGGATTTTTGTTCTAAATGACAACGACAATAGTCACATAGCAACATTTTATTCAGTTCAATATCCCAGAACTTGATCGTATGAAAATATATAAATCACACACAACCATTAGGTACCAAACTAATGTCCACTGTTTTCACAGTGTGTGTGTGCTTGTACTAGCCAATACGAACCCCAGTTTATAGGGCTAGCCGACTGAGATACCATGCCACAGTTTAACATGGATATCCACTCAGAAACAATATACAGACTCCAAGCCAACCAGGCCTTCATTTTGTTTTACCCCTTAATGCCAGGCAGGGTAACACGTAGGGCTGGGACGGGTAACTCGGGTTCCCGGGTCGGGTGGGTGCTGAGTATGACCCGTTTACCCACAAGTCTACCCGGACCCGTGGTCAGTCACGTGATATATTGCTTAATGACAAAAAAGTATCTAGAACTCTATGGTTACACCACAAGTCACAAATGTTCGCATTCCTTCTGACTTTTCATATCTTTGAACTTTGAATAAAGACATAACTTGAGTCAACTTCAGTGTATGCATGACCAGAATATTTAATACATGTATCTAAATATGTTTTGCCAGTGCTATGGTAACAAAATGCCCAATCGGACATTGAGGTCTCTTGAGGCCTACAGTGGGTACCCGAGTAGGGTCTGTTAATAGGGGGGTGGGTACCCGTGTAGTAAATTCGTCCCAGCCCTAGTAACAAGTACTAACTAACAACGAGTACCATCTGCGGTATGATGTGGCCGAGGATCGAACCACTGACCGTCCGCTCTCCAGGAAGACGTTTTCTCCATTACACCACAGAGTGTCCCAAGAGAGAGAGAGTGATACAAATCACAAGTCAGTGATTAGACAAAACAAATCAGTGGTTGATAATACAGTCCACGTCAGGTGAGGCAGTCAGAGGTCGGAGCAAGAATATTTCTCTTTCCTTATCATGCGTTGGTTCCGGGGCCCCATTCCACAGAGTGATTTTAGTGCTACGTTGATCGTAAGCCTATGATAAAGTATGGGAGTTACGACCAACTTAGCACTAAGATCGCATTGTGGAAGGGGCTCCTGGTGCCCAGGTTAAATTGACCGAGTGACTAACACACATAGGGCTGACCATTAAACGCCTTGATTACATTAACAACTAGAACTATCAAAGCATTACTGGGGACATGCCAATCTAATCACTAGCTATGAATACAGTATGCGTCGCAAGTTTTCAATTAACAAAAAAGATCTATCAAGAAATCACCTCAACATTGCAAGAACACTGATCGCATCTTTACACTGTAGCCTGTACTGGTACACATGACACACCTACTTCCGACAAGCCTGCAATTTTTATCTCCACCTGGAATGGTTGTGCGTCAGTTCATACTGCTGAAACGTGACAGATATAAATAAAACCAGCTTGTTGTTCATTTGCCATGATCACTGGTCATTTTTGACTCCAAATGCACTTTCCAATGCAGAACAAAATACCCAGACCGGCAGGGAGTGGGAACCATCCTGTGGAGCATTGTCCTCAATTTCACTCTTTTTAACTGTTCATCTATCTTACTCAAATCTGATTTTTCTCTCTGATACAAAACCTATCTGCATGGGTGAGATGAAATGGGGTTTAAAGTTGCATCCAAGAAAATTGCACTTACATAGCGGCATGCATGTGTGTGTGTGTGTGCTCGTGCGTCGGGGGCTGCTTGTACTAGTACATGAATACCCTACTCAGACACAGTATACTGACTTCAAGCACCATCTTTTAACGTCTTTTTTTGTATGACTACCACTAGACCACAGAATCGGTTGGAATATATATGAACACTCCTCCAGAACACTGAGCTAACATTGACCATCTGGTCTATAAGGTGTGAGCCAATCAGGTGTGGGCTTTCTGAAACGATTTGGCTTCATTTCTCTGTACAAAAAAAAAAAAAGCCACACGGAACACAATATTCCTTTATGGTATTCCCTTCAGGTGTATAAATATCCCCACTAATTAGCATCGTTTGCATTCAGATGTGGCCATTTTAGTTTGTTTTCAAGGCATATAGAAAACCTCAAGTGATGCAAGTCTCAGACATTTACCACGGGCATGGTGCTGACGAACCTGATACCCAAAGGATGCCACTCTGCACAACAAATTGCAGTGTTTTTGATGACTGGTCCATCCAGGAACCCCTCGAGGGCAATAAATCAGATGTGCTGGTCTGAATACTTTGTCACTCATACCAAAGATTTAGAACCCTCTATGCTAATTTGAACATTCACGTGACTAGAGAGAAAATGTATCAGATAAAACTATCTTATTTAAGCTTGCTCAACAATGAGAACAATTCTGAACCAATTTTCTCAAATTTAAACATGGATACAGTTCAATAAAACAGAAAAATGATAAAAATACATTCAAGACATTCAACATGATTAAACATTTAAACAAACAAACAACAAACATTCTTAAAATAGTAACAAATGTCATGATTTGATCAGATATTGAATCTTCAGCACCAGAAATATATTACCATAAGAAACTGGTAGCTCTTCTTTAACCCAGCCATATGATCATCCTGGCGTTACGACACCGGGTGCTGCAGAGCTCCCGTCAGCCACAAGCATGAACACATCACATCATCAATACCACAATCAATGTTCACATCACATCACGTGTGCTGACATTCTCAAGCTCGTCACATACCGACCTTCTCCACATATACACATTAAAACAAATATATATGCTATTCTGCATACCATACAAAGTTTCATAAGTGTTGGTCATGGACTAGATCTGTCACATTCCCATCACATCACAGCATAGTTCTAGCACAGATTTCTGTATTATGTATATCCCCACGTCACATGTTTCCAAGCCCCTAAACAATACGTAACCATGTGCTCAATGACGTAATCAATGTAGGTGCTTCAAAGCTCACTGAACACATCAAAGTGTTCGCCACTTGTCGCTGAAGGTATGTACGGATTAAGCTACACGAGGTAAGATATTCAATAAGTAATGAAAACATACCTCAAAACTTACTTTTTCACAATGCACATTTTAATGAAACTTGATCTGATGATAATTTTGCATCAGAACAATTGTATGCAATTGTAAACAGAAATAAATGTTTTCAAAGGTAAGACTTAATTTTAGTGTACTGTGATAGTTATTAGGCACGTAATGAGAAATATTTCTTAGGGGCTCGAAAACAGTTTGCGAGGAAAATACACTATACTGCACGTAGAGTGTACCAAGAGTAAAGCTCTGGATATTGCATTATAAGCATGACAAAGGCTACAGACATTGCAAGGAGGCAAATCTTTCCTTTGTCGTGCTATTGAAAAGCATTGTTTCTTAATCACCATCACAGGAGAATGAGACTGATCACCCCCATTCTGTATCGTGTTCATTATATATGTCATTACAACTTCTCACCACAGAAATGCATGATTTAATAACTTTTCAGATGCCTGTGGAAACAGATGACAAGCTTGCGTGATGACATTTATGCACTGATGACACAACCAAAAAGACAACAGAAATCTCCCAATATCCCCCCTGAGTCATTCATACAGAGAGAGATCAAGTGAGGTTGCCAGCACATCCTCGCCCCCATCATGTGAGATCTACCACATCCCCATTATCAGGCACAGCGTCCAGCAGATGCATCACTGTTTGTTCCATGTTCATCTGACATTTGATGAGAGCTGCCTTGATTTGTTGTTCACCACAGTGAGGCAAGATATCAGCTACCTTAGACACCAGGGTTTCATCCACTGCATTTTCTGTTTTGCCCCGCCTACCCGAACTGCCCCGCCCACCTGATCTCCCCTTTCTCCGACCTCGTCCAGGAACTCCAGGATCATACTCAGCATCCAAATCAATGACAACTGGATTATCACCATCATCATCAATTATCTGTTTTCTGTGAGTAGATTTCCTCCCCCGTTTATTCGAAGCTCTAGACGTAGACTGAACAATATCCTCCTCCTCATCCATTAAACGTTTTCTGCGACCACGAGTAGATTTTCCGCGTTGTTTGTTTGAAACTTTTGAGGAAGAGTGAACTGCTGTCTCTGGTTCCTGGGCACCATGCTGTTCAGAATCAGGTCTTGATGTATCAGCAGCTGCAGCTGATGTTGAAGGAACTGGATGAGGCATCAGTTCTGGGAGTTCCGGGAGTTCCTTGATCTCACCAATGTCTATCTCAGGAAGACTGTCCTCCAAGTCGGACTGTTGTTTAGGAACGTCTCTTTCCAAAATACTTTCCCCTGAGTATTCCTCTTTGTCTGCACTGTTTGAAGTGCCCGGAGAGCTGGGTTCGCAAGGTACTTCTGTAGAAGGCTCCTGTTTCTCAGGGTTATCGACTTGACTGTTGAAAGGCATCTTTACTGTTGATTTTGCATCAACATAAACTTCTTTTCTGCTTTCAGATTCATCTCGGACACCAAAATGAGGATTTGATTCCAAGCCAGAACAACTAGGCTCTGAACTGGAGTATACGTCCTCTCTCCTAGGCGAGAGTTCAACACAGTCTCTTGATCCGGCATTAAACTCATTCTTGTCTGAGGAACATTCAGACAATCTCTGATGCACTTTCTTACTGACCTGGTTAGTTTTTCTATTTCTCTTCATGAGGTACACTTTTCCATGACATGGAGATACATGGCTTATTTGCGGCGGAATCTCAATATAATCAGCGCTACAATTAAACTTTAATTTTTTTAATGGCGAGGAAAGAAATTTCTTAGATCCATTACAATCTGTCTGAGGTTCTGTGTCTGAAAACATACTTTTAATCTTTGCATGTTCAGAAAAGGAGGAGAATATAGCTAGTTCTGAATCAATATCAAACTGAGCATCCACTTCTTCTTCCGCCGAATCAACCCTATAGTTCATTTTCTTGTCGTTTTCTTTATCATTCACCACAGGAACAATAACAGCCTTTGAGTCAGCAGGAATCCTTTCACATACACTGTTCTTTGGGTTGGAATCGGAAGATTTGACAGCCATGGGGTTATGGTCAAGGGGAGGCAACTCTTCACTATCTTGACTACACCAAGGAACTTCACTTGGTGTACCGTCTGTTGCATACACTTCCTGTGAATCATCTTCTATTTCCAATACTTCCAAGTCAGTGCATTCTGATTGAGATTTACATTTGACTGTTTGATTGTCTTGTTTGATCTCAGTGACTTCAACTTCAGCTGAGTTGTGTTTGGTTGATGCAGCGTTGCGTTCCCTGAATCTGTTCACTATCAGCATATCAAAGTCACCCTTGCTAGCTCTGAAATACAAACACAACATTACGAACAACCCAATGTTCACATGGCTACATATCCTGGTCTGCATTTGGAGTACCGTAATTAACTTTTTATGAGATAGGTATTCCTAAAATCTAGATGATTCATACCAAACTTTTCAATTGAAACTGGAAGGGAATTACTGTGAAATGTTCTACTGCATTAGACACTAGGGCCTGTATTGCCTGGAATTCTGTATAACAAAATATTGCAATAGTGAGGTCTGTATATTGCCAAACATAGGTCTGAATCCAGGTAAGAATATAGGTCCAAGAAGCCTGTTATGACAGCATAGGGGATGACATCTTCCCGAGGCAAGAGAGTTAACTGACTTTTAAAAGTCCAGTTTCCACCCTTGCCGAACTAGGCTGCAATTCCTGGGCTCTATCGTAGTGCCACCAGTGGCTATTACGAGTTATGTCCCTTCTGAGCCTCTCCTTTAGATCAATCAGATTCCACCTCTCGTATCACTTGCATTTGCTTGAAACAAAACAGTGGCGCCCAGTCAAGACGATCTGATAGATAATTAAGGTCTATGTTGTGATAAAACGGGTCTTACATCGGGCAATGCGTGAGCACATTGATTAAAAACATGAAAAGATTTGGAAAATATCTGTTGACAACGAGTTGGCGGTGCACATTCTTTGCAATCGACGAAAATCTGCAGGACAGTTTACGAACCGGATTTCGATTTCGAAGCACAATTTTGATTGGACTATACATAGACTCGTTTGTCCAGCCAAAATGTAACTCCATAATACCAGCCTAGTTCGGCAAGGGTGGAAACTGGACTTTTATAGTCAGTTAACTCCCTTGCCTTGGGAAGATGAGGGGATGAGTTCATTCTAACCTGGGAACCACACAGAGTTTGCTAATATAATAGGTCCATAATAAAGTACTGGAGCTGAGACAGCCATTGTTAGTAAACAAGACCAAGGCTACATAAACTGACCTCTTCTGTACTTCCTGTGAGATGACAGCGAGGTACTGTACCGTGGCCTCCACACAGCTTGTGTGTCGGACCTCCAGCTCTGGGTGCTCCTCGAGGTCCTTCACGGCCAGCTGGAGTGAGTGAGTGAGTGAGTAGACAAGATTAATGACAGGGTGGGTGAGGTCTGGGTGTACATGAACATGATCAATGCTTGCATTATTTACCATGTTGGAACCTGGAACTGTTACTGTAGATATGGGTATTGTTCCACGTAGCCATCCCAGTGCTAGAACTGTTGTGACTTCCATACCTTAACTTTAATTTCGTGGAACAGAGTCCTAACTTACAAATATCACTATATCAGTAAATGATGTTGTTGAGAATATTAGAAACAGTATGTCATAGCACACAATAAATTTCACTGTACGCTGTTTCATGCTGTAAATTGGTGAAAGAAATAGTTTTGTGTGTGTTTAAATAGGCATGTTCTTTCGATGCAGGTTTTTAACATGTACCACTTTAGTGAAACCAAAGAACAAGAGTCTGGTGCTGAAACACCTAAAATCATAATCAGGGCGAATTGGAATCCACGATTATAGGTTTCTGGCATGCCTAAGGGAGGCAACTGTGCACAGAAAGTTGCAGCGCCCAAGATGACTGGGCGACCTGTGCACCCCCCTCTGTGTATTGCAGCAGCAGACATACCTGTACTTGAGCCAGTGTGGGATTGCCACACCTACCGACCCCCCGACACCCGTCACTGCACTTGACGACGTAGTCGCCCGGATCCCCCTCTAGGACGTACACCAGGCGAGCTACAATGTGCTTCTGTCTGAACTCTTCCTTCCAGTCCACCATTTTGGTCACCTGACGCCAGAAGAGACCATCCTTCAGGCTGTTGGCAATATCATCTGGGAGAAGGATATAATAAGTTTATTACATGTATATCCAGCAAGTGCACAGACCAATGAGCACGAGGTTTTCTTGCTTGATATCGTGTACAACACGTTTTACTGTCAGGCAATGGTTAGGTGTGCACAAACTTCATGCGGGGAGTAGAACTCATTTGACATTCACGATTAATTCACGGCCTCACATTATTTACTGACTACCTGTTACCACTACACTGCCAAGTGGATGTATGTAGTCGCAGGTGATGGGGAAAATAGTGTCAACAAGACCGTTAAATATTGACGATGCATGGTTGTGAATATGAACCGTTCACAAATGATTAAGTCTTCAAATAACACATATACACTCCAGGACAAAATTATGTTAATATTGACCAGAATTATATTTTAAGGTCAATCAGGTCACATGGTGACATACAATCAGGTCACATGGTGACACACAATCTGGTCACATGGTGAGACATCAGCTCATATGGTGACACACAATCAGGTCACATGTGACACACACTCAGGGTACATGTGACATGCTCAGGGTACATGTGACACATGCTCAGGGTACATGTGACACACACTCAGGGTACATGTGACACACACTCAGGGTACATGTGACACATGCTCAGGGTACATGTGACACATGCTCAGGGTACATGTGACACACGCTCAGGGTACATGTGACACACACTCAGGGTACATGTGACACATGCTCAGAGTACATGTGACACACACTCAGGGTACATGTGACACACACTCAGGGTACATGTGACACACTCAGGGTACATGTGACATGCTCAGGGTACATGTGACACATGCTCAGGGTACATGTGACACACACTCAGGGTACATGTGACACACACTCAGGGTACATCTGACACTCAGGGTACATGTGACAAACACTCAGGGTACATGTGACACACTCAGGGTACATGTGACACACTCAGGATACATGTGACACTCAGGGTACATGTGACACACATTCAGGGTACATGTGACACACACTCAGGGTACATGTGACACACACTCAGGGTACATGTGACACACACTCAGGGTACATGTGACACACTCAGGGTACATGTGACACACGCTCAGGGTACATGTGACACACGCTCAGAATACATGTGACACACTCAGGGTACATGTGACACACACTCAGGGTACATGTGACACACGCTCAGCGTACATGTGACACATGCTCAGGGTACATGTGACACACACTCAGTGTACATGTGACACATGCTCAGGGTACATGTGACACACATTCAGGGTACATGTGACACTCAGGGTACATGTGACACACTCAGGGTACATGTGACACACACTCAGGGTACATGTGACACGCTCAGCGTACATGTGACACATGCTCAGGGTACATGTGACACACACTCAGGGTACATGTGACACATGCTCAGGGTACATGTGACACACTCAGGGTACATGTGACACTCAGGGTACATGTGAGACAAACTCAGGGTACATGTGACACACACTCAGGGTACATCTGACACTCAGGGTACATGTGACAAACACTCAGGGTACATGTGACACTCAGGGTACATGTGACACTCAGGGTACATGTGACACACACTCAGGGTACATGTGACACACACTCAGGGTACATGTGACACACATTCAGGGTACATGTGACACACACTCAGGGTACATGTGACACGCTCAGGGTACATGTGACACATGCTCAGGGTACATGTGACACATGCTCAGGGTACATGTGACACACGCTCAGGGTACATGTGACACACACTCAGGGTACATGTGACACACGCTCAGGGTACATGGTGATATCAGAACCATTCAAAAGTAACATTAAAATGCTTCTCTTTCGCATTCCATATTGCTGATTCAAAACATGGCTGATATCATTAAACACCAACTGTGTACCACTGTGGAACTCACATCCCATGTGAATGTATGCACTATGGACTTACTGAGCCAAGCAATTTTGACAGTTATAGATATTATGGCTGGCGTCTGAAGTGGCATCCTACCAGCTCGTTTCCTCTCAATCAGCAGCGGTACCGTCATCTCCCCACCATCACATCTCCATAGCCATCGGTAGTCGCCACATGGCAGTCGACAACTTCGATACTGCACACCCGCTTGCTCCAAGCGCTTACAGTGCTGTTGATGAGAATACAAGACATGCATGGAGGGGACAGCTGTTCAATAACAGACAGACACTCACATTTGTTGCAATACTTTCATGATTTACAGTACACATGGATATGGTGCTTACAAACAAATAATCATAATTTGGCCAAATCTGATATTCAATACCACCTACCAGCAGATCCTGACACACAAGGGACACAACTCTATATGCCTCTATACGTTAATTTGGTAAGTTGTTAACAAGTGACTATAGCATAATAAAATGCACTCTAACTCCTTTCTTTTCGTTTGAACAGTTTGATTACATAATAAAGATGTCAAAAGTACCCATCTTAGAGCATCCTTCATCATGTTAATGATCATACAGGTACTTTGACAATATTACAACTTGGGCTTGTCACCTACCTCGCCCAGACCAACTCTGTCACCACCCATTTCTTGTGTGTCAATCTCCATGACAATTCTGAAGTAGAAACAATAACCTCTCATACACATCCCTATTTAACAGCAAATCGTGTGTCGTTATCTTAGGGAAATGTCCAATATGAAAAACAGCCTATACTCTTAAACATGCTGCATAGCTATACAAATACACTAACAGGATTCCAGTTGTATTGGAGTGCCTATGAGACAGACTACTTCACGATGGTGCTGTTAGAATAGGTCCTGGTGCCTTGTAGGATATAGGTCATTTGAAAAAAGCCAATTCAGGAATGGGGGCTGATACGAAAAAATCCCACAGTGGCGTTTCTAAATGTTGACCACTCCACAATTCCAAATCCTGGCTCATTTGTGATTGCGGGAGGGGTAAGGTTTTTATAATGAAACTCATACAACTCAAATAATGTCATTATCACATTGATACCAAGTATTCTTCTTTTGGACAAAGATAAATGTTTGAGAATAAATACCAGTGCATTTCTATGCCTGAAAAGAAATCTGAATGTTTAATGGACCAGGCACACCAAACATAGCGACCTTGAGATTATCTAAGTCCTCAGAATACAATAACACATCCCACTGAATACCCAGCCTAGAACTATCCAAACTCGAAGTCACCACTGCCACCCAATTCCACGTAGTCAGCTACTAACAGGACAGGATTTCTCCTACATTCAGTGATCACGTGACAAAGGACATGCTAAAGGACAAAATGGCTACTGTCAAGCTCATTGTTGAGTGACATAGCTTGTATACGTACACAGTGGTCTATATCATGGTGACATCTCGATAAGTATACAAAGTCTACAACCCTGATTATCAGCTGGTTAGTGACAGGGAATGGAAGTCAAGCGGGTGCAGACAGGTTGCTATTTCTCTAACTGGATAGTGTCCTGTGTTATGTGATTAGCAACAGTTAGAATTACAGGACATCTTGTCGACCAAAATATGGAGTAAACTTTTCTGTCCCTGAATCCCCTTGGAGAAGAAAGAGAAGAATAGATTGTACCCATCAGAACCATTGTCATTAGTGTAGAGGAAGCTTTCCTGTGACTGTGATGGTAGCTTGGTTGCCTCTGGCTTCTGTTGAAGTGTGAACGAACGCGGGGACTTCACCGACTTGGATTTGGGGAATACTGCATCCCTATCTCCTGGAAACATATCATAGAAAACTACAGTAAAATTAATCTTGTCATTGATATGCTAATAACTTAGTGTTAATCTGCAAAACCTGTCACTGATATTGTCACTTGAAATAAATTTAACCCTTTAATTTTGTTTGCTTTGCTTTTCTTTCCTCAGTCTAGCTAATTTAACCTACTGCGTAGCCTGTGAGCGGAGTCTCGTCCAAGCTCCATCAGCTGATACACAGATTCCTTGTGGTGCTGTCTTCGTTTGATCAAACCTCTTCTTACCAGCACCTCAGTACGCCACCAAGCTTGACAAAATCCTGAAACACATTAACGTGTACTAAGAGTGAGTGAGTGAGTATGGTTTTACACCTCTTCTAGCAATATTCCAGCTATACCATTGCAGGGGGCATCAGAAACGGGCTTCACTAATAAACTTGGAGGAGAATACCCTACGAAGAATTATGAATTATCTGTCGTGAGTGAAATAATTTGGTAAGTCCCAAGCCTTGGCAACATTATTTCATGAGAGACAATCAATCCATTCTTATCTTTTCTAAGAAAAAGATGGTTTTCCTGATCACAAGTGGATCAACTCAGTCAATCTCTTCTTAGAACCTAGTTACATAAAACCAAATCTTACATCGTGAACAATGGATAACGCCATCTGAATAATATGCGACAATGCTTTGAAATGTGTCATGCTGCAATCAAAACAACAGGACAATTGGTGTGATGTAGCCAATCAGCATGAAGCAGAAATTATATCATCTGTGAGTATTACTGAAAATATTTGCACTGATATCCTCATTGTACAATTTGCATAATGCTTGATGATGATATCACCATTCTAGCATTAGAAATACCCTGGACCCTTTCGCCGAAGTGATGACTCAATCTTCACTATTATTACTAAATTTGCACTGAATTTCTCTCGTTCATGAGCTGTAAATCAACAATAACAGTCAATGCATTCATAGTAAACAAATGAGAAAACTGTTATAAATGACCAGGGCTATTCCTAAGAGAGTCCAACCTGTGTCCTCTCCAAGGAAGATCTCCTCACAGAGAGACTTGGCCTCACACTTGAGAACATCTTCAGGGATCAGCGCCACGTCATCGCTCCTGGAAAAACACAAACAGTTTTGTGAGTTGGGTTTGAACAACTTGCAATATACATCACTATATATGTGGGAGGAAAGTCTGAAGTAATGCAGGTCCCAGACATTTACCACTTTTGTGAAACTCACGAACACAGGTATAGTGCTGATAAACCTAAAAACATAAGTGGGACGAACTGGGATTCGAACCCACGATCATAGGTTTCTGGTGTTTGATTGACATTCTAGAATTTGGTGAGTAAATAACAAAAAGTACAACTTTATGGATAACAACTTCTGGTTTATTGCATATAGCGATGTTTTGATGTAGATTCTTACACCGTTATCAAGCTAGAGTGATCGGGTAATATCACTCCAGCTTGATAACGGTGTAAGAATCTACATCAAAATGTCGCTATATGCAATAACCCAGAAGTTGTTATCCATAAAGTTGTATGGTTTGACTTGACACCTCTCATTAAACACTTGATACCTCTAGTATCGATGCACTAGACTTGATACCTCTAAGAAAGCTTCAGAATTTTAATATATCACTGTAGAATATTACTCTACTGATTCACTCACCCTGATCTCTCCACCTGCTCGGTGAGCTCCAGCAGGGCTACAAGGATGGCGCCAGCGGCACTGACAAACTTCCCATCACAAGGACGGTCCACTGACTTCTCCTTCTTCTCATGTATCTCCTTCAGGCGTTGCAGTGTCTCACCTCCGATCTGAAATCAATCAACTATTCATTATAGGCATCTTTTGTGGCCAACTTTCCCTGTCTTTGTCCCTTCTTATGACCAGCAGGGAGTACAGAGGACATTTTTTGCTCTGAAATTACCAAGAGGCTGACAATAACTGATTTGTTGAATAATATATATTAAAAACAACACCTACAGGGTATATTTGGAAACATGTTAAAAGTAACATTTTATTTTTTAATCAATTTAATTCGTTTTCATATATCATCTGTCACATTCCTGCAATCATCACGATCGTGACAATGTAAATGTGCGTGCGTGCGTGCGTGCGTGCGTGATTCAGGTTATCATACCCCTTCTAAGGCCTTGGCTTGAGACACAGACTTGATGGGCTTGTCTGCAAGTTCCAGTGAGACAATAGCTCTTGATGTACATTCAGCAGCTGACTTCAAGTACTGTCTTGTTCTCTGCCACCTCTCACGTTGTATCAAACCTCTCATAAAGAGATATCTCTGTAACAAGGAAAAGTTGACAGATAATCAGAATAAAACTTAGTCACATTTATCTGGGGTGACCTAGACTAGTAGAGTAAAAGAGTGAGTTTGGTTTCATGCAACCTTGAACTGATCATAAGAAATATTGTGCTTATTACAGAAACTGATGTGAAAATGCAACCAATGTGTGGCATTTGCTCATAGCCTGGTAAACTGTAGACTACAAACAAACATTAAAGGTAAATGCAAACGGATTCAGCTCATGCCTTATCAGGAAAACTGTGAATCAGTTCAAGCTACTTGTGTCGAATGGCAAGTATTCATGGATAGTTGTTTGGATAAAAGTTTATTAAGAAAATTAGTGGCTAGTTGTTTGGAAAGATACTACCAGCCCAAAATTGCAGAAAGTGGTGTTCGTATATTTTAACTGTATTTTGGACTGACTATAGAGCTTGTTGAAATTCCAGTAGATATTCTGGGAAGAGAAAACTACTGAAAATGGACAGCAATGTTATTTTCCTTACCATTACACATTTCAAAAGGATGAATGTGATTTTAATTTGGATTTATATAAGTTATATCCAAGTTGCATTTATATACCTTCCAAATATATTTCCTTGCAAAGCACATTCGGTGATTACTTTCAATGAAGTTTACAATTATAGGCTGGCAATAATCACTACTATCCAAACAAACTACCAGCTAGGTTTTTCGCCTTGTTGATGATGATTCGCGGATAGTTTCCCTTTCCTGCTTGGAAGATGTTTTGGAATAGGTATGAAATGAGTGTGAGCTGAACATAGAAAAAGTAAGTAAACAAGGCCGCGACACGCCTCAAGGTTTTTATCACCATTTCTGAGAGTGGAAACGAAATTGGCAACGTAAAATGGCACAACACATGACTCTATAATACATGTTAACAAACGTATATACAACTTTTGCAAGACATTTCAGTTTCATATGTAAATAACTTCGTTTGACGTTTACCAAGTCATAGTATTTTCTTTTGCCCGCCATTTTGATGAAACGCAGCGGGAGCATGGCGTTAATCATACATCATTAAAACTTCGTGTGATTTTATACCCATAAATGTATCGATGAAAATGAACAATATTGATTGTATATGGGGTTATAAAACTATATTATATATAAAGGAGTTTGAATAAAATAAATCTTCGTTAATGTTGACAATTGAGGATTGACGGAATGAGTGCTCCCTGTTGGGAAAATATAAAAAGACACGTCAAAATAAGTCGGATAATGGTTTGATTTTTAATCTTATATTTTGCCAGTAAACACTTGACGCGTCAATGGTTTTAATTATTACTTTGCGGATTTCACTATCTTTTTCGCGGTTGAAAAATCATTTGACTATTGAGTAACCAAGATAGATAAGATATCAAACACAATGTAAACACACATGCTCTTCGGTGATCAATGCAAAAACATCATGTATTTTTGTTTAAAATTGCTATTTTCAATCTCATTAAAATCAGATCTTGGTTCTAGAACCTTTAGATACCTCTAAACAAATGTTTATTTTAATTTAGACATACAAAACCTATTATAATATTTTTATTAACATAAAACATTCCGCTAAATCGACATACCGACATCCCGCTCTCCAGCAGACGCTCTTTCAATTGCAGTATCCACTCAGACAAAGTCTGGATTAACGGGGTGTCACTTCGCAAGGATCTATCATGGAGGAGGAACCAACCTTTACCACTTTCAATTATACTTTGTACCTTTTTTGTGACATGTTTCTATCAGACACTGAGGATTACCTTCGAAAATATTTAAGTCAAGTTATATTTGCTTTCAGGGGGACATATATGACTTATAATGAATATTCATGAGATATATTTAAGGCATTATTCTGTTTTTGCACATAGGTTAGAAGTACAGTAGGAACCAGGCACCACATTGAATATCGTAAATGTGAACCGAGAGCCCAAAGCGCTAGAGTTTAATAGGGGGTTTAAACCAACAAACAAACAAACAAACTATGTAACCTATGGAGGTGTTCTCGGATATTCACGCAGAGAGTACAAGATGTGATTTTAATGAGATTGAATAGTATGCAGCTAAAGACCTATCCAAACAGTGACGAAACATTGACAATGAAAATGGGACACCAGCATCTTGTGATGGCAAGGAACATCGTATTCAACAATTGTAACTACAGTACATCAACCCATGCTTGTAAGAGGCGACTAACGGGATCAGGTGGTCAGGCTCGCTGACCTGGTTGATGCATGTTATCGGATCCCAATTGTGTGGATCGATGCTCATGACATCAATCACTGGATTGTCTGGTCCAGACTTGATTATTTACAGACCAGCGTTATACAGATGGAATATTGCTGCGTGTGGCGTTAAACAACAAACAAATAAGCCTTAAAAACAGTTTTCATTTTACATTTATTGTAGTTGGCAATTAGTTTATATATCAGTTAATAATGTTCAGTCATTACAATATAACAATAGCTGTTTTCTGCATCCGTTTCATTCGCGATAAGTTAGATGTTCAGAAACAGAAATCCAAATATTATGATTCATATGAATGCATTATTATCGATAAGCTTTGAGACGATTATTTTGCTGGAAGGGAGTCAATTCACGTCTTGGATCCGTTAAGGATAGCTTTGCAGTCTACTTCAAATTGACATTTAAGATATAAATTATTCATTACTTCTATGATCGTGGATTACGGGAGAATGTTTTCCCTTTAAATCTAAAATAAACCCGCGCCTTCATTCAGTTTCGTTTCTGTGTTAAAAGCTTTTCGAAATTCTAATTTTTCATCTTGAATTTCTATTTTGTAATCCGTTTCCGCAACATCCAAACATCCATTCCGCATTTTTTAACTAGCACCTGCAGTCAACATGGCGAATTTCAGATGGAAAAAGAGTGCGGAAGCCTTGGAAAAAGAGATCGAACAGGACAAAAAGCTGATCGATTCGGTTAAAGCCGGTGATGAATCATCCGTCACGGATCTACTGAGTGAGGGTGCATCGCCGGATGCCACGGAATACAACAGGAGCTTGTTCTATGCATCAAAGAATTATCTAACCCCTCTTCAGTTAGCTGTAAAGTTGAACTTCCCGAAAGTTGTTGCAACTTTAATTGATCACTGTGGTAAGGTTTATGTTAAGATTTAAAAAAAAAATTTGCTTCGAGCTATAATGCCGTGGATATGTGGTGTTGAAATAGGCAAACTCCTGAACAGGATCTGATTTGTAACAAGTAAAGTTTCCTGTTTACTCTTCAGTCTTTGGTCAACCACTGGTTCATTGACACTTAACAAGGTTTTCGTCCTCAAAAAGGCTCTTTGCACAAACTCAGTGCAGAGCCAGTAGCGCTAGTGACAGCATTTGAAGATGAGAACCTTCTCTAGGCCAGACTCAATTACTTAGCATACTTATAATGGCCACTGTGATACCAGGGATCAGTTGGGGACTATATTCATTATGATAATACCCTTAGTGGTTTGCTACTGCCAGGCTCTGACCATTGCATTTTGCTATGTTTACTAATGTGACAGGAGGTAAATTAAGTGATTGGACTTATGGACAAGAATTATATGACAAGAGCTTGATGAACTTGACAATATTCAATATTATTTGATATGCTTCAGATCATTAATATACTCATTTAGTTGGAAGGGGATGAGGATGTTACTAATGCATGTGATGGTTATATTCACCCATAACATTTTAGATTCTGATGTTCTGAGTTCTTGGGCAATTGAACTGGTCCTAGTACCCAACATGTTTTTATCAATGTTTTTGGTATATATTTTGTTTTTGTAAAATTCTAAAAAATTCTTGATGTACTATGAACATGATGAAAAAGAAATAGGAAGGTTTGACAGTGCATTGACCAGGAGAACATAAAATCTTTCAGCTCATTCTACCTTGTCATGCTTGACAAAGCACAGTTATTCGGGTAACTACTGTACCGAAAAAACTGACATTGTAATAATGTGCAATGCTGATGAGTTTGTTGTCAACCAACATAGGTGTTGTTGGTCGTTAGTACTCGTTACTCATACTGTCAACATGATCAAACCATTGATTATGTGGTCCAGATTTGATTAATTACTGAACTGTACAGATTTGATTAATTACAGAACCCTATCACTTGCTTATGATATAACTAATGTTGCTGTCTGGCATAAACAACATTTACTTAATGTGAAATTACCTTAACTATTTTTATAATGAGTAAGAATACTACTGCATTATTAATATTGTTATTTCTTTTATCTGACATCACCAGATATTCTTTTTCTTCAACCAAACGCTATTATTACAGCGGATGTCAATGCCAAAGATCGCTTTGATGTGACGGCAGTGCACATGGCTGCTGAAAAAGGGCACCTGGAATGTCTCCAACATTTACTTGAGGGTGGTGCAGATTGCAACGTCAGCACAAAATACTCAAAATACGGATCCTATACTGGTGAGTCAGACATAAAGAGAAAGGTATTACATCACTGATCATGCTGATCCACATTGAATTATTATTTCACCATGTTCGTTCTGTGTTCCAGCCACACCTCATCCTGGCGGAACGACCGCCCTCCACCTCGCCGCCACCAATAACCATGTCAAGTGTACAGTAGAACTCATCTGGTACGGTGCAGACTACAATGCAGTGGACGAGTACGGCCGCACCAGTTTGTACATCGCTGCTCAGCACGGCTTCACAGAGTGTGTGCATCAACATCTCAACAATGCAATACGCATGGACATCCTATCAATACCAGTCAAAGACACAAGTAAGACCAAACAGTGAAACTTTAGTTATCTCAACTGTAATTTTCGGATTATCAAATCATGTTTCCGTAATAATGTCCCTATATTGTATATTATCCTCACAGTAATTGTCTGTATTTTGAAGCCCCAGGAGTAACCATGGTAACAGGGTCTAGACCAAGGTTTCTCAATGGGTCATGTGAGGGACAAGTGAAAATGTCAAGTAAAGTATTTGTGCAATGTTATTTATGATTTTGAAACTTTGTTTTTAACTATGTGTCATTTGAAGGCTAGGAAAACTGTGCTGTTAATTAAGCACGGCAGTGATTTATCTAGACATTGGATCCAATCCACACTGAAACACCAGTTATGAAACATAGGGTGTGTCATTCGTGACTTAGTCTGAAGCCACGGGTCAACCAAAAGCTAGCAGTACCTTTTGGGATGAGAGATGAATGCTGTTGCTACAATATCACAGTTCATAGGGATTTCTCAAGACATACTCATAGGCTGAAGTTCAGCCCCAAGTCTGCAACTAATGTCAATAAAAATTCACACATGTTAATATGTTATGGATTGATAGAGTTGTCATGTATTTCAATGATAATAAATTACAAACAAACATGAAAAAGAGGAAGAGTCTTAATGCTTAGTTATTAAGTTGATGCATGTTAATTTGCCTCTAAATTTATGGGGTACACGGGTGGCCCAGTTGTCCAAGGAGCTGCAATTCGCTGTGCAGAGTTACATCCCTTGGACATGCCAGAAACCAATCATTGTGGGTTCGAATCCCGGTTTACCTCAATTATGTTTCTAGGTTTGTCAGCACCATACCTGTGGGTTGCAGCAAAGTGGTCAACATCAGAGACCTGCATCACTTTGGGCTATCCTTCCACATTAAGCTGACACGCCTTTGTATAACTGGAATACAGATCAAAACGGCGTTAAACCCGACTCACCTACACTATAAAGTTATGAAACTAAGAACTTTGAACAAAATTAAATTGTAATTATTCCTATTTACCTTTTGCTATTTAGGAATTTATATATTTTATGTTTATTCAAGTTTCCATGACAAATTCCGATGAATGAAGGCTTCATTTCCAGGGCATGACTTTATTTGTATTTCCCCACTCACTTACTCATAATATCAATCAACTTTGTCTTGTATATTGTTTTAAAATTCAATCAAAACAACTGGAAGCCCACTGTATCTGATGATAACCACTGTTCCCTGTTATCTTGCAGCATATTAAGGGACCAGTTCAAAAGTTTGAAGTTGGACAAAAAGTAATGGACTAATCTCGCAAATTCAATATTTTCAGAATTAATTTCCCTGGGGGATAGGGGGGTTATGTCTCAAAACTTAAGGAATTAAGTTTTTCATCCGATGCTAGACTTTTGAACTGGTCCCCAACCAGGTTTTAGTTTAGTGGTGTTGACTCTTTACAAAACATCCTTGTTGGCTTTTGTGCTCAGGGGATGGAGTCATGCACTTGATGGAACATTGGTAAGGGATATTTCAAGCTTGTTCATACTATTATCAGCTGTGAATGTTTCTTTGCATCTCAGATGAAACGCCCCTTCATGAGTGTGTTCGCCATGGCTTGTCTTCGTGTGTATCCTCTCTCCTGGAACATGGCTCAGATGTCAACCATCGCAACGATGCAGGGATGAGTGCCCTCCATCTTGCAGTTGTCTCAGGGGAAAAATACTCCAAAAGAATTCTCCGCGACCTGACAACTAAGGGATATAACACAGATGTGAACCTCACAGACAAGCAAGGTCAGTACATAGCAGGTTATCCATTGTAGGCGTGTATATGGGGAAATCTTTTGCATTATGCTTTTATAGAGACTTTCAGCATCTACAAGGATTTGGTAAGATGGAAGGCTTTGTTGAGGGTAGGGCAAGAACTCCAGTCTACTTGTAACTGACAACAATAAGGGCCGGGTAAGAATAAGTCCTTACCAACCCACTGTTTCAGACCATGTGAGAACTGGGTTAGAATAGGTCCTCAGCAGTCCATTGTTTCAGACTTTGTGGGAAAGAAGTTTGAATAGGTCGTTAGCGCTCCATTGTTTCAGACCAGGTGAGAACTGGGTTTGAAAAAGGCCCTCAGCACGTCACTGCAGGTCATACGATGCTACTTTCTTGGATTGGGTGTCAGACTTGGTTTATCGTGTTTGTTGTGTGTCATTGGAATCTGATGTCCCTGACTCAATTATCTGTAGGCTGCCTTGATACACCTGGAATAATGCAGACTTATACCTGGAACAATGCAGTCTTATACCTGGAACAATGACAGGCTTATACCTAGAACAATGACAGACTTATACCTAGAACAATGCAGTCTTATACCTTGAACAATGACAGGCTTATATCTGGAACAATGACAGGCTTATACCTGGAACAATGCAGACTTATACCTGGAACAATGACAGACTTATACCTGGAACAATGCAGACTTATACCTGGAACAATGACAGACTTATACCTGGAACAATGACAGACTTATACCTGGAACAATGCAGACTTATACCTGGAACAATGACAGACTTATACCTGGAACAATGACAGACTTATATCTGGAACAATGACAGGCTTATACCTGGAACAATGCAGTCTTATACCTGGAACAATGACAGACTTATACCTGGAATAATGACAGACTTATACCTGAAACAATGACACACCAGTTTAATATCTTGTTTATGGATTTTCTTGTTGGCATGTCATTTCCACGAGATGGATGGAGAAGTGAAAAATATACAAAATGTTGGCAGGGTTGAAATTACCTCTTTAGGTTCGTTTCCTGAACATGCTACAACACCCTCTTAAAATAAAGTTAAAACAATGTATACATTACAAATATTAAAAAAGAAAGAAAAAGGACTCAATAATTAAAAAAAATAATGTCAAGCATAGTTAGTCGTTCATGTCCTCTCTTCTGGAACATGCCTGGGATATCAACCATCACAATGGTGCCAGTATAAGCGTCCTCCATGAAAAAGTTAAACAATATCTGCATAACAATTATAACAAGAAAAAACTCAGTTATTTCAATAAAAGAATACTTTTTATGGATTTATGTGAAAATACATTGGTCTGTACTTCAGAAATGTGCTGACTTATGATATGGTGTTTGCAGGAAGCAGTCCCCTCCATTATGTGTGTTTCAACGACCACTCCAATCAGGAGCGCCGACCAGATGCAGCAGCGTTCCTCATCGCCTATGGTGCAGACTTCAACATCAAGAATAAAGCTGGCGACAACCTCCTGCAGCAAGAACTTCGAAACCAGAAGGCAGAACGAGCGATTCTGGAGTCAATAGTGAACTGTTCCCTGAAACTGCCAAGTCTTGAACTTCTGTGCCCCACGATGTGTGCCAGCAACCCATCTCAACAGGGATATAACAGGAACGAAAACGCATCCCCGTCAGGAATGTCCAAATATGAATGGTACCGTTCATTTTGTCGTGATCCGAGAACACTTCAACACTGTTGTCGATATGTGATACGACAGACACTTGGGGGTCAAAGGTTACGGAAAGTTCCAACACTGCCTTTACCGACAACGCTGAAAGAGTACCTCTTGCTAGATGTCGAGACCTTCTCATGAAGGTGTGTGAATCGCCGGAAGGTGAATGGAGAAACAGTTGGATGGACAGTGAACTCAAGGATGATTTCCAATTTGGTGACTGAAAAACAGTTTTGTTTAGCCTTAGCACGGTCCAATATAAACTTAGACCAGTTATGATTGTGGGTGGACTTGTGGCCATGGTGCCGATTGCAAGCTCTAGTCTGGTTGCTATACCTTAGGTTATAGATATGTGATGACCTAGGGCACTTGGTACAGTAGATCATGAAATTTATTAACAATGATTGGCCTAATTGTATACGAGTAGCCCTACCCTTTTACAAATGACAATACCAAACTGAAAACACTGGTATAATGTGAGGTATTGGCAGCTGATTGAATAATCATATTACTATGAGGGTGATCTGAGTTTTACCTGTAATTATTATAGATTATTTGACTGGATACCAAGAAAACGGCCGCTGTCATACATACCTGGTAGCTGTCATACATACCTGGTAGCTGTCATACATACCTGGTTGCTGTTATACATACCTGGTATACCTAGTAGCTGTCATACATACCTGGTAGCTGTCATACATACCTCGTAGCTGTCATACATACCTGGTATACCTGGTAGCTGTCATACATATCTGGTAGCTGTCATACATACCTGGTAACTGTCATACATACCTGGTAGCTGTCATACATACCTTGTATAACTGGTAGCTTTCATACATACCTGGTAGCTGTCATACATACCTGGTAACTGTCATACATACCTGGTAGCTGTCATACATGCCTGGTAGCTGTCATACATACCTGGTAGCTGTCATACATACCTGGTAGCTGTCATACATACCTGGTAGCTGTCATACATACCTGGTATACCTGGTAACTGTCATACATACCTGGTAGCTGTCATACATACCTGGTATACCTGGTAACTGTCATACATACCTGGTAGCTGTCATACATACCTGGTAGCTGTCATACATACCTGGTAGCTGTCATACATACCTTGTATAACTGGTAGCTTTCATACATACCTGGTAGCTGTCATACATACCTGGTAACTGTCATACATACCTGGTAGCTGTCATACATACCTGGTATACCTGGTAACTCTCATACATACCTGGTAGCTGTCATACATACCTGGTAGCTGTCATACATACCTGGTAGCTGTCATACATACCTGGTAGCTGTCATTACTGCTTGATCAACTTGTGCAAACAGTGACCAGACCTGCATGGTACCAGGGAAAGGCATGAAAGGTATACATTAGTGTTGACTGGGTGCTTTGTTGTTATACAAGTTGTATCCAGTACCTTCACTGAACCGGGCCTGACAATTAACTGTTATGTCAAGAGGACAATACACAACTTCATTAATGCAAGCAAGGGAAAGTATTGTATTAATGTCATACTTGCACTAGTTTCATGATGTACACATGGTCAGTTTCAAATGCGCACAGGCTTCATTCCACAAGCTGCGTCAACTGTTGCAGCTACCATACATAGGCTTTATAGTATCAACAATGTAGTCAGAGCTACAGATAGCAGCGTATTTGCATAAAATACCCCCCCAAAAATATTCAAAACCCAATTATTTTCAATTAACTTGCATACAGAAACGCATGCATTAAATGAATAACTCAAATGTATAAAAACAGCACGCGTAAATACCCAATGAAGCTTTTTCAGCATGCGTACAAACGAGCTAATTTCTGAAACACAATCACAATCTAATTTATTTTCCGAGTCGAGCCTATATAGTTAGAACAGTTATTTACATCTAAAACATTATTTCAATTTTTGTAAATCTTAAAATGTTCACTAATTTGGGGAAAAAGCCAAAACACTGATGAATAGATGAGTGAGAAAATATTGGTTACCCAATGAAAAATTCAATAAGCCAATTAAAATAGAAATCCCAGAGTAAAAACTCAATTGCTCCAAGGGTTACCATGGTTACCTGGAGCTCTGTGTAGTTTACACTTACAGTCTGTAGTGAGTGAAATGAATGACTTTATAAGCCATGTTATCATGATAATGAATTCCAGGAAGCTTCATACTTTTCATTCAACAATTCTTGAAAAAAACCAGGGATTACCTTTGCAGAAGCTATGTGTTATTTGATGTTAAACATTCAGTGTAAACTCCGATCTAATTAAAATCAGAACTTTGATGCATGTCTCTGTTTCGATCTGAACTGAGGTCAGTCTGGTGTGTTTTCTAATTGACCAGTCAGTGTTTGACAGATCTGGAAGAGACAGGCATTGAAGCGAAGAAAAGATCTGATTTTAGTGAGATTGAACAATTGTATGGGATGTGGCAATACTTATTTTAGCAAAACAGCCACACAACACAATGTACCCTCAATGCTACTTTTGGATAGCAGAGAGTACAAGATCTGATTTTATAGAGATTGAACAGTATCTAGCTAAAGGCCTTCCCAAACAGTGATGAAATACAGGCAATGAAAATGGCACACCAGCATCTTGTTATTACAAGGAAAATTCTATTTAACAATTGATACTAAAATTTGCTTACTTTTGACATTACAGCACTCTAGCTATTCACATGACAACCTTGGTAAACACTCAGAAACGACTCTCTTGCTTGGTCATTCATTCAGACATAGCACCTCCTGGAGCCAATCTTGTCTGGAAACTATTGTCTGTTGTATGTGTTTATTTATTTCATGGGAAATGTAGAAGTAATTCCTACGTCACTTCAATCCGGGGAGTGCTAAGAAACTAGCCTGTTGTAGCACCCCATGTTTACATACCTGAGTAGTCTTTCATTGCTTGATAGGCATCAAGAAGTTGGTAGGTCGTCAGACATTCAGCTTTCAGGATGGCAACGACAGGGCTTTCTAGTCCTAGCTTTTTGATGGATTCTACAGTAAATCCATTCAATTTAAGGCATTGTTTTGCCCCAAAATTCTTCAAAACACATGTAATTTCATTTACTATTCTAAGTTATATACTTACAAGGCATCTTCAGAAATGTGTGGCATGCATCAACTAAATCAAATGTTAACAAAGACTCGGGTAAGGATATGAACCATCTTGGTGTTACAATTTTGAAATTGTGAGTTTGAATATTGATTATTGCAATTGTTCTTGTGTGTGATTCTGCAGTAATTCAGCCATTATTCTGTATAAAAGTGTTGATTTGTGGTCATTGGGAGAATTCTTCATTATTAGAGGAGTCCTCCATGGACAGTTTGGGGGTAAGAGGAAGCCCTGATAAATAATAACTACGGACTGGGTGATACAAAGGTTCTGTCTTTGCATGAAGACGACTGTGATTGGCTGGAGCCATGCAGTGGTAGATTGTTGAAGACATCATTGTGAAATAATTATTGGGAAATCTGTTGAAGGTTGTGATGTGACAAAACTAGATATTTTTCTGATATTTCATTTTAAGAATTAGATCATGCTATTTTAGTACTAACAGCTTTAACAAGATGGTATATATTATTGTGACATTAAAAATAAATAACATTTTTATGCAAATGTCAGGAAATTGACAAATCTGAAAAGGGCTGTCTAAGGGATGTTCTTGATGGAGATCTTGTATTCATGGTGGCCGAAGTTTGTCTTCTTCACCATTTGTCAGTCAGTCATTAAAATCACATCTTTTCCTCCATTCTGTGCCTCTCCAAGGAGGTCAAGTTAGACGAACCTTATAATCGGCTAATCGCCATGTTGCTATGAGTGATTCTTGATATGAGCGAGTGAAGCATTCACAGCAGAGAACTTAATTTGGGAAGCAAATGTAGACGGGCAGTTCTGAATGGATAATTAATTAATGACACAGAAACTGCAACTGACAAATTGTATTGGCAAAATTGAGAATGGAGTGAAGCTGAATAGCTTTAGTAAGCTGAAATCTGTGTATCCTTTCTAATGATCGGGTCATCAAGTTGACCCCTATGGAGGTGTGACAAATCGTAGTGAAAGTTCTGATTTTGATAAGATTATACCATTCATCATCATAATCAGGATATAAAAGATATAGGGGGAAAAAACATGTTATAGCCTTATTGCATTTTCTTTGTTTTTTTATTGATTGCAAAAACGAGGACTTTTTGTCTGGCCTTAGAAATCCATGTTCCCAATTTTGAAATATGACTTCCATTTCGGGTTGAACATATTAAACTTCAAATGTTTAAGTACTGTATGCTAGTGAATATGTTTTCATATGATCTGTCTTCATACCAAACCTGATTTGTGTTCCAGAAGTGACACGAAAGTTACTAAATAATCAACATGTTACTGAATTTTGGCAAGATTTTTGATTTTTAAAAAGTTTATGTTTTTGTAAAAAGGTGTGACATCAATGTAGATCAATACTTTTATCATATGAATTCATTTTGACAAAGAGGTATGCTAAAAAGGTGCAGTGCTCACCCAATGGTCTAAGTTCTCATAACTCTCTATGGTAGTTATCTCCCTTCCCTGTCAGGATGTGCTGGTTGCAACTGATTATAATACTTCCCTTGACATCATCTGGCACATGCTCGTGGGTTTGACCAGAGTGGTAAACATCACATTACCTGCACCATCTCTGACATTAAACTGAAAACCTTGATATCCCTGAAATAGTGTTCATAGCAGTGTAAAATCAGATGCTTATTTGATTTTATTTCTCCATTTTATGTAAGGGCATGTATTGTTTATGAAGAGGCTTAAGACAGGTTTTGGTTGCTACGTTTTGTTTTCAAACGATATTAGTCCAGATTTTATTTTTGCAGCTTGACAAGCATATTGTTAGGTTACTGACTCATATCATGCCTTGGAGATATTCCATTGTATTATTAGTGCTGTAGTAACTTATGTGCATATTTATTGTGATTGTTGGTGGAAAGGTTTCCATCTTGAAGGAGCAACTCTCAAAGTTCAACACATCTGATGGATGTACAGATGTTTTGTCATTACATCTGTTGTTATTGTGTATGTTTATGACTATGATGCAGCTCTATTTTAGATGATGGTTTGGATGAGATGTAGTGCTGATTTGATAAATTGTAGAAGATATACTCCTGTAGAAGAGGTTTCTGTCTGCCTGGTAGTGCCTACCCTGACCATTTAAGTTTAGTTCCAAAACACAACTCAAAAACTCTGAATATCTTCATATAAGTTTCACAAATATAGTGAAGTGCATTGACATTGACATTGACATTGACATTGACATTGACGATGTCTAGGTGAGCTAAAACTGTGTTGATGAGGGATACGGATCAACTAGTTCTTGTGTTAATTAGAAGGCTGTTGATCTGTTCATGTGATCAATATCAAATAAGATTCTGTTCTTATGTAAGGCAAAGAAGATTTACATCTCCATTTTCTTTTTATTTCTTTTCTGAAGTGTTCAAATCTTAATTACTTGCATTGACAAAGATGTTCAAGATGGTCAATATCTTCATGTATCTTTCCAATGTACATTCACCTGTTTTTTTGAGTGTATTACACAGATGTATAGTCATGATAATGAGGTAGTTGAGCATCATGGTATAAAGACATTTGACATTGCTGTCATCAGTGTATATTATTACTTGATCATGTATTGGTTACATGTTTCTGTGTTGATGGTGTAAAGATCGCAGCTGATGGTGTAAGGATCGCAGCTGATGGTGTAAGGATCGCAGCTGATGGTGTTAGGATCGCAGTTGATGGTGTAAGGATCGCAACTGATGGTGTTAGGATCGCAGCTGATGGTGTAAGGATCGCAGATGATGGTGTTAGGATCGCAGCTGATGGTGTAAGGATCGTGGCTGATGGTGTAAGGATCGTGGCTGATGGTGTAAGGATTGCGGCTGATGGTGTAAGGATCGTAGTTGATGGTGTAAGGATCGCAGCTGATAGTGTATGGATCATGTGTAAGGATCGCAGCTGATAGTGTAAGGATCGCAGCTGATTGTGTAAGGATCGGGTGTAAGGATCGCAGCTGATAGTGTAAGGATCGGGTGTAAGGATCGCAGCTGATGGTGTAAGGATCGTGGCTGATGGTGTAAGGATTGCGGCTGATGGTGTAAGGATCGCAGTTGATGGTGTAAGGATCGCAGCTGATGGTGTAAGGATCGCAGCTGATAGTGTAAGGATCGGGTGTAAGGATCGCAGCTGATGGTGTAAGGATCGTGGCTGATGGTGTAAGGATTGTGGCTGATGGTGTAAGGATTGCGGCTGATGGTGTAAGGATCGCAGTTGATAGTGTAAGGATTGCAGCTGATGGTGTAAGGATCGCAGCTGATAGTGTAAGGATCGCAGCTGATGTGTAAGGATCGCAGCTGATGGTGTAAGGATCGCAGCTGATGGTGTAAGGATCGCAGCTGATGGTGTAAGGATCGCAGCCAAATACCTGATGAAACGTACCTGGGCTCCATATAGGTTACATTGAGATGATTCATTTTTGTGTGTGTTTCATCCCTGAATGCAATGCCTAGTGTAGGCCACAACTCAATGTTTGTTAAGGATGTCCGTGAGAGAGTGTGTAAATAGGATTTACTCGGGAATACAGCTGCTATGTGATGTCGTAGTAGTCTTTGATTTAAGTTATCTGATGAAATGAGGCTGTTTATAATGCATGGCGGGTCAAATGAACCCTACCATTGCCCAACGTTAAACCCATGTGCTGAGCTGACTGCTGCAGGGCCATGGCACATGTTGCGCGCATCAAACAGGAAACTTGCCATTAGTGCGATGTGTGCTGAGTGCTCGTTGGTCAGAGCTCCTGCTGGCATCTCTCACTGGAGCCAGGCCTTTGTTTTGTCTGTTAAAAATAGCAACAATGTAGCGAATGTATGTATTCACAGATAAGGGAGGAGTGAGTTAAAATTTAATGCCGCATTGGCATTATTTCAACAATTTAGAAACAAGTGATAAGGGAGGAACTTGTCTACAAGCCCGTGAAGTATTTACTACATGGGCCGCGGCAATAATCCTGCAATGTCCTGGCAGAAAACCCCAAGAATGGGCTTTACATTATAATTCATTGACGACTGTGAATAACAATGAGTGAAGACATAGATGATGTTCATATTTCTTGATATTCTTCGCAGGAGTTGAGTAGTATAGTTATTCTGGATGAGGATTGGACAAAATATATCTGAAAATATCGAGGAATATTTATATTTATTGTTAAGAATAAGATGTTCCAAAATAATCATTGACTTAAATTAATGGAAGGTCATGGTCATTTGGAGGATGTTCATATTGTACATTACTACATTCTACATTTGATATATCACTTTGTATCCCATAGTTTGTACAGTGAAACTGAATCTCAGATAACTTATGTAATCATAGGAAAAAAATAAGGGAACATAATATTGAAACTATCATTAATTTCTGTATTGTTAATAACAAGCTCCCCTTTTGTAACATACCTCCCTTATAACATGCCTTCATTTGGCTTTAAAACTGTTCCTTTATTTATTTCTGGGAGTATATTTGTGTGAAATGCAATATTCATCATCCAGTAGGTTTATCTTGCTTTGTTGTTTATGTGCTGCTGAACTGACTATCCAATCATTGCACGTCAAGATGCATGCAATATTTTGTGCACATCTTTTGATTGGCTCAGAGGTAACAGCAACAATCCCTGAAGAGTCTTCTGATTGGCTGAGCATATTTATGGAAGGTTTCCTATCTAAAACTCAGGGACTCTCTCATCAGTTTAGTGCTCATTTATTATAGAAAATAAATTTGCATAACCATGCTACTGAATGACCATGCCACATGCTACATTTTGTAAAACTTCCTGCAAATAATGTTATTAATGAACTGTAAGAGTCACTTTGCGCCACAAGCAATCTCACTGAAACCCGATCTTTACTTGATTTCTCTGCGTGAAGGTCTGAGGACACCTTCGTAGAAGGTTACTTGGGGTCAACCCTACGTGAACTTTGGCCACCCAATCTAAATGAAGGACGTGTGTGTTCTTGAGCAAATCAGATGTCGGCTTTCTCAAACATTTTGGCTTCATTTCTTTTCAACCTCGAGTCTGAAATAATATTCTTAGCAAAAGAAAGCCTACACAGGGCACATATGTTCGTTTAATGGTACTCCCTTGCGGCTGTAGCTGCCATGATGCTTATATACGACAGAGTGAGTACAGTATCCCCAATGATACAAGGCGCAGCATATATGGTTGTACATTCAGGACAAACTGATTGACTTCATTTTTGAGATACAGAAATTAGACATTCTGGTTTGAATGCTTTACTTATACTGAGAATTTTGAAGCCTCAACACTGATTGGCTGATAGAGTTGGCCTGATGTGACTTTGTATGGATGTGTTCTAAGATGCTCACGCAGAGAGGTATGATACCTACCGGGGGTATGTAACAGATCAATGAGATTGGCCCAAAGCCTGGGGACTATTGGTTAGTTTAGACATTGTAATTAGTGCCAGTGTCAAACTGGACCATGTCTATTATTTGGGTAGTCAGTGACTGTTAAATTTGTATACGTTATGAAATGCGAAATGTGAACAAAGAAAATTGTGTTAGATCAACCTGAATATGACTTGCTTGGGCTGCCAGTTGACAGGAAAGTACCCCCGGTAGTTTGTCTTAAGTCTCGATCATTAGATTAAGACATGTTAAAGTACGGTTTTCTTTGGAGATGACAGCATTTTTTTCACAATTTCCGATGAGAGTTCATAGGTTCATGTGGTTGTTTGACATCACTACCTTGGGTGGTATTATGATACAAAATAGTTCAAAACAGTCAGATGTTTAATGTCAGTGTTTCCAACACTGATGGTGCTTCAGCACTGGCAGATCCAGATGGGATGTACGGGGGTTTGTTCTCCTGACATCTTCAGCACTGGCAGATCCAGATGGGATGTACGGGGGTTTGTTCTCCTGACATCTTCAGCACTGGCAGATCCAGATGGGATGTACGGGGGTTTGTTCTCCTGACATCTTCAGCACTGGCAGATCCAGATGGGATGTACAGGGGTTTGTTCTCCTGACATCTTCAGCACTGGCAGATCCAGATGGGATGTACAGGGGTTTGTTCTCCTGACATCTTCAGCACTGGCAGATCCAGATGGGATGTACAGGGGTTTGTTCTCCTGACATCTTCAGCACTGGCAGATCCAGATGGGATGTACGGGGGTTTGTTCTCCTGACATCTTCAGCACTGGCAGATCCAGATGGGATGTACGGGGGTTTGTTCTCCTGACATCTTCAGCACTGGCAGATCCAGATGGGATGTACAGGGGTTTGTTCTCCTGACATCTTCAGCACTGGCAGATCCAGATGGGATGTACGGGGGTTTGTTCTCCTGACATCTTCACATGACCACTGCACTTCATGACTTGGTATCAAGTGCAACGCCCCTTTTTCAAAAACTTGGTCCGCCTCTGCTTCTGAGATGTCTCGGACTCTCTTACTCTGTCCTATCATCTAGTCATCATGATGTCTCGAGGTATGGTGCTGTATGTCTGGGGAAATATAACTGCAATGGAGGCTGGTTAAGAGATATGGTTATCAATTTTCAATTTACACATCTTCATCAAACATCAAGGTATAAACAATTCAGTATTTAGACCCAAGTATTGCTAAACTATATCTTGCCATTAGTTATCTTACTAAAGTATTTAGTGCACATAGTGTCTTATGATGGCTTTAGGGAGCTGTCATTTATTGGGTGAGGGGTGGTTAGGTAATTCAGTGGTAAAGGCGTTCTCTCATCATGCCTGAAGAGTTTGAATCCCTACACTGGTACCATGTGGGAAGCCCATTTTTAGTAGACTGCTGTGGTATGGGTGGAGTATTGGTAACATAGGCAGAAAACCTCATGGACTCAAACAACGTTTCTGTTCTTTGGTGTACATGTATATTAACCAGGATCCTGTTCCACAAAGCGATGTTAGTGCCAAGTTAGGCTGGGACGAGTCCAAATTTACTGCCTGGGTACCTGACCCCGTTACTCGACCTTACCCAGGTACCCGCTGTAGGTCTCAAACGTTGGGTACAAAATGTCTGATTGAGAAATGGTTTTACCGGAGCACGGCAAAAACTATTTATATGGTAATATATATCGTCGGATTGTAGGTTTTCGGGCTTTTTGGATGGCCAGGTTTATTGCGATTACTTGTGCTATAATGGGGGCGTGTAGCATCACACAGACATTGTAAATACTCAGTCAGATGGAGTGAGTGCATGGTCAAAAAGAAATGCGAACATTAGTGAATTGTAGTGAACCATGGAGTTATAGTGAATTTTTGTCATTAAACAAAATATCACGTGACTAACCATGGGTCCTGGTAATCCCTCCTCAGTACCCACCAGACCCAAGTACCATAGTAAGCCGTCCCAGCCCTAGTGCCAAGATGATCATAACTTCCATACTTTCACACACTTACGGCAGTGTGGCGCTGTGATCGCTTTGTGGAATGGGCCCAAGTAAAATATGCCTTGGAGTGGTAAATTCACAAGTTGTCAGTTTCTGTGTCCAGTACTATGGTCACTGCTTCAGTTTGATTAGGAAGGAGAATTATCACCCTTTTTTTTTTATAAATAAATTGTTCCGTGCTATTGATTATATCACATCATCAGCTTCTTATTTGTGTGTACTCAACTTCTGAAATCTGAGGATTGATGGTATATTAAGTTGGCCTGTAAATAATCAAGTTAATGTGTTTTGTAGCATTTCCAGCTGATTCGCTGCAACAATATTTTATTTTGGGATATTCAAGTTTACGGATTGTATTGTGTGGCTTTGAAACAAACTGAAATAATTGTGGGTTTTTTTTCTTACAGGTTATAGGGACATGTATGTTGTTGGTTTGTTTTAAACAAGACTTTCATTTTAGAATAAAAAAATAGCATGTGATCTAAAAGGAATATGTGTTTTGCACTATAAAAATAATGAATATTTTTTTTCATGTTACAGAAAACTGCTGTAATGTGCAGCAATCACACAATGTGTGATGTCTTTATTTGAATGAGTGCCTACTTGTGGAACTTTAATGTCCTTTTTTTTGTTTTAGCTCACTTACTAAAAGTCGAGTGAGCTTATGTTGTGGCCTGTTTGTCTGGCATACAGCAAAAACATGTTCTCAGAACCCACTGAAGGTGAACTACACATGCTTGTTCCACCAATGATAACACCCTAATTTGCTCAAAAGGTGTGAATCAAATTTTCAATATGGCTGCCATGTTTTTGGGCCTTTATTCAGCTATTTGTTTCCAAAATGGAAAAGAAGTTGGTACATGATGGGGCACAACATATATGTTCCTTTTTAACGATACTTTAAGTGTTGACCATGATCGTGATTATTTGAACTTTGCACTTTGATAAAGTGAAAGCTGAAATTTCCTTTTGTTACTGAGTAATGTTTGTTCAAAATGTGATAAAATTTGGAATATGTGTAGTTAGTACTTGGGCTCAACAAATAGGATATGTTTTTCAAGATATTTTATATTTTGACAACCATATTGAAAACTTTATTGAAGGCATATTTGGCACAGTACATTCTTCACCTGTGAGACTGCCAGCATGGGGGAACTTATCTTACTTATTTTTCTCCTTATGTTGACATCATATTTTGTTTTAAGTTGTGAGATTTTATTGCTAAGCATCAGTGACAAGAATGATGTTTGATGCATGTCCCTATTTTGGCTTGTACCATATGTTCCAATGGTTCCACTATTTGACAGAGATTCATAAACACATGCTCATGATAAAGTCAGAAACGTGCAATTGACTCTGCTTTTGGCAGAGATTTCTTATGAGTATGGAAAGGGTTTTGTCGCTTTTATTTGGTCCTAAGTATTAATGCAGAACCTTTTGGAATATCAGTGCTGACAGAAACATTTTTAAGTGTCTTTTTTTAGCTGTTCACAACATATTCAGGTGAGTTTGCATCACAATATAAGGGCAATAATATTGAACATGATGTTAAGTCCATTTCACCTCACCTTGAGGTGAGCTGCAGTACCTTGGCACTGGTTGTGAACAATGGTGTTTGGATTGACAGATTTGTTAATATCACACAGGAGACTAAATCATAAGGGCAGGTAAACCACTCATTCTGCAGGAAAATCTATCATTTACTTTGGACAAAGGCAGTGTTGAATATAACCGCTTGCCCGGCAGTCCAAGACAGTCTATTTTGCTAAGGGATGGTCAGATTTGAAAAGTTGCACGCCCGCGGGTCGGGAGTTATAGTTTCTAAGTGGACAATCCACAGGTTTATTACTTTCTGAGAACTAATATTAAGCAGTACTATTCTCATGTCACTTTTTTGTTACATTTTATCTGGTCTGGTAACATTGCAATATTGCCAGACTGGTCGGACTGAAATTTTGGGGAATTTTATACGCTGACAAAGGGACCTATCTTGCAATATTAAGTTTATTCTGCCAAGGAATGTGCTCAAATGTGTCACCATTTTGTCTTGTTGTTATGCCTGTCGTGTATATTAGAATATTGTAGAAAATGTATATACTGAACCTATGATCACTATCACTTTCATCCACTGTTATTGAAAATAGTATATTCTGTATTTGTTTTATCATACAGAGCAGATTGAATAATGTAATCATTAAATGCTGAAGAAATTGTGCTGGTTTTTGTGTTATGCTTGCAACCTGTCGGAATCATTTTGGGAAGTCAGAAAACATCTGATGTTGAGAGTAAGTGAGTGAAGGTTGTTTTTTGCTGCACTCAGCAATATTCCAACTACATGTATACACCTGGAAATTGATTGAGCACCACTCCTATTTTCATGAATGAGTCAGTTAACTTGCAGCCTAGTGCAAAATGCATTCCAGATAGCAGTATTCAGTGTCTACTGCTTACCAGTCATCAATCATGAAGAAAACAAGGTTTTAATTGGAACAATGACATTTAATCTGAATTGTTGGCATTTTAAAAAAAAGATGTGTCAGTAGATGCTTGAAACACAGTTCTCGTCAATACTTGGTGTGACCACCTGGTGTAACACACGAATGACCTCTGCCAGATGCCTCCTCATTCCAGGAATCAGACGTTGCACTTGACATCAAGGTATTCTAGCCCACTCACATAAATTTTGGACATGTGGGTCTCGAACCTGCTGGCCTAAAATGTCTGGACTTCTTGGTGGTCAAGGATGTGTCTCAATGGCATTCTGATGTAAGTATCCCAGAACTGCACGTGATCTGTGAGGTCCAGCATTATCATCCATGAAGACAGGTCTCTAGGCCAACCCCGGGTTGTCAAGATCAGTGATAACTGTTGTCTCCAGGATGTCATGCTGATATTGATTACCCTGCATAGGGTCAAGTTTACAGTTGAATGAATACTGTTGTCAAGTGGACATTTTCTAACGAGCCTCAATAATGCTGCATCTTCTCTCCTGAAGATGTTGACCTGAGAGTGGCCTGTCCTCAACTTCATTTGCTTTTCGGTATTCCCCACAAGAAATTCCTGCATTTTTCATTCCAATAATCTGCCATCCTATATAAATGTTTGCGGCTTGCCATGATAAGGTTTTATAATGAGCATGCATGCATTCTGTGTTAAGAAGTGTGTATCTGTAATGTCCACAACTAATACGGGTATGTGTTTTTTCAACATTTCATGGGTATTGTGCCCCACATGCAATGTGTACAACATCAAGCGCATTAACAGTGGTATTGGCAATGGTATGGTGTGGGAAAAGGGCCATTATATCTGATATATGAATACAACTTACTCACTTTCAAAACTCTATATTTCCAGGTGTATATATGAGAGTTATGAAAATTATCACGCCTTGATCAGATAAACCAGTGATTGATATTAATATTCCAATATGGATGCTGTGGCAGCCATGTTTAAAATTGGATCATAGTTCTGTGAGCACATTTTGGAGACACTTGAACTTTGATGATCCGTTTAAAGTTTCAGCTTTAAAGGTTTCAGCCATGCTGAACATGATGAAAATCAAAATGTTTAGAACGGCAAAACTGGTGATTTTGCATGCTATATTTTCATTTGAATTTTCAGTTCAGGTAAGCTCAAACAGGATGGATTGAGAAACAAGGTTTTGCAATAATAGCATAGAAATTTGTTTTATTTTCAGGAACCATACATAATCAATGACGACAGAATAAACAGACAAAACAAGTTAACAAAATGCAATTTGTGCTTAATAATGATACATCTTATTCATTAACATGAGTAATCAAAAGAAAGAAAATCATTAACCTGCTGATTTTGAGTTAGACATTTTCATAATTTATCATATTTGTAGCCAGGGCAAAAATGGATATTGATGGATATAAAAGTCATGATTAACATATTTGTTCTTAAAAAAATAACAAAAAAATGACAACAGAATAAAATACAAAAACAAAACCACTGAGATAACACCAGTAAATACCTACCTTGCAATACGAAATAATGTCTCACTTGCTACTTTTCAACATCATGACCAGCCCGCTCCACAAAGTAACATGATCACAGTGTTGGACAAACAGATGAACTCACTCAAATGCAACCTACCATAGTGACCTAAAAATGGTCTGGCCTGAAACATCTGCAGCGATAAGTCATTGTTTCATATGCTCTAAGTAAACATGGAAACAAGATCAGTACCCTCCTTCATTTTCACATATTCCAAAATTCCACGTTCCTTTTGGAAATATCTACCTACAACATTGAACAGTTGATAAATGTCCACGATAAGACCAATACCTCCTTGGCAGATGCTACAAGAACACTGGTCGCAAGTACAGGGGAAACATCGGAAATAGCAGTCAAGTAATAATTGTTGTGGAGCATTTGCAAAACATCTTATGAGGTAACTGATTTCAGTTTCTGTATTTCAATACGAGTATGTCACATTGTTAACAAACTATGGTTTGTTATAGACAGAAAAAATGATTAAAGAAAATTATTATTTCATATGGAAGTAAATGGTTTGGTTTGTTGTTTTACGCCGCACTCAGAAGTAAATGGTAAGCAGTGCTAAACTCTCCAGGTGTACATATCTGATAATGAGCACAGCACCCGTTTATTGTGCTACTTGTTTGTCACATTGTTTTCGGGGGGCACAACCTGGTGCCAACATCCCAGCCTAGGCTTAGTAGCTAGTGCCCTGCATGACAATTGAAACACTGTCTTTGAAACATCCAAGTAACCATGAAATTAATGTGCACCATAACATTTGTGTTAGCAGTGAAAGTGGGCATTGAAAGGACTTGAATCAATCTTGGACCAATTCTAAGCCTCATCCTCCTCTAGGCACAAGCTGTGTGCTGATCCCTATCATGGCAACAGTTAGTTTTAGGTCTGTCAGAGATTGAGCAAAAATATATATCCACTGTTTAACTTCACAAAGTTTGTAATGGTGTTAAACAAAAAACCTAGAAACTTGTTAAAGTCTATGGTTTTCATTTCTGCCTAAGAAAATGACAAAACATTATCTGCCAACAATAACATGCCATTATGGTCAATTTGTTATGAATTCTAAAGCAGGACTAGACCCAACCTCAGTGAAATCTAACTAGTCCACAACTTTCTTAAGACTAGTGTTTTGTATTATTATTACTAGTTCTAACCACATTTCACTAGTCAGTGTCTCTGGAGCTGTGTAGAGATCTTTGTTCGTACACGAATGGTAAGACAAAATTTGTCTGCACAATCAAAATGTGCACAATAGTAGACTGTATTTGATCATGTTTCCCTGATAAGCTGATGCAGATGGCTGTTCCGTCAAGGCAACCTCCAACCTTCTGGTAATGAGATTGTCACTGAACTGAGTAACAGCAGCCCCAACACTTAGCCATTATTTATACAACCAACACTCGTACATCCTTATCCAGGGAATTGTACCACCATTTTATTATGATAAATACCCTGAACCAATTCATTACAATATTTGTTTTAAAAGTCTGATTCAAATGACCCAACCATTCAATCAAATGACACTCATATGAGAGAGATGTTATGCTGGAAGTTATTGATTGACCAGAGAGAGAAGATGGTGCAGTAATGTCCAAACACATCTATGTCAGCACATGGGTCAAGGGTACTTATCATAACACAATGGAAATATTTTACACTGGAAAATACAGAATGCCATACATAGGCACAGTTAGTTCAGAAACATAACTGCTTCACACAGCCTGTAATGTTTTGTCATGATGAGGGTCAGAATTTTGAATTGTCTTTTTGTGTGTCAAAGCCCAATTAAAATGTTTCCATGTTGTTTTTACTGCAACAGAAGGGTCTGAGAACCCCAGACATATCTGTCTTATGTTTCTTTCTAAGTAGCTGGATATAAAGTAGGGTATTATTTGTTTGATGTTAATATGATTGCCAATTCCCATCATTGTGTTGTCTATAGTAATTAAATTATGCCTGTTTGGTCAGTCAATCACTAATTGGTGCCTCACAATTCATGGAAATTATTAAATATAATTTGTCGTATGAATAATTGGAACTGGAACATGTGTATGCCTTGTATGAAACTGAAACTCTACAAATTAACTCAATTCCCACTAAAATAAAAGTCTCACTGGTATGGACAGAGTGCTATAAATAATCAATTAATCTAATGTATGCTGACACAAGCATTTATAACAGAAAACTGACACTGAAAAACACAACAGACATATCTGTACAATTAAGTATGGTGAATTGTCTTAAATAGAAAACTGTACAAAGTTAATACAAATTCACTGGATATCCATGATTTGTAGAATACTATACACACAACAGAATTCTTGATTCCAATTTTCAAACAACCTTTTGACCATTTCTCACCATTACATCTCACCAACTATCCTATCAGTATTTTTGGGAAGATCTGAAGTGAGATATGAAAGGGAGATAATTGTATCTGAAAAGTTGCCTCCCCTTGGTCAGTGGCACATTTAACTGTCACTGATGCCTATCAACACCTCTGGTAATGAGTACTACCACCTGTTGTTGGTTAACTATGGTAAACAAGGAATATTTGCTGTTAATGTAGCCAGCAAACACTACCTATTCTCTTTACATGCTAAATGTGGGTATCTCTGATATAATGTGATCCAATAGGGCAGTTGCAAGGAACCACCTGGAGAAAAAGGATGTTGTGGTAAAAAGTAGAGGAAAATTACAGATAATATTTCTTTTATAATATTTTCTGCAAATGCGTAACATACTTTGACCACCATCAAATATGACTTGTGACCCAGATATTTATAAATTTGTGATTTATCCTTAATAAATGCACACAGATGTTACAAATCCTTTCTATATCTAACATGGCTCCTGGGCTGTAATGTTAACTTGGAGTGAATTGTTTGTTAACAGCTGCCTGTAGTTAGGAAACCATCCAAAATAAAGGGACTCAAAGTATCCTAGAACACCACACACAACCTGTATCAATAAGCCATTGGTCGTTCCTGTTCCTGGTCCCCACAACCATATCATGGACTGCACTGTGTGAGTGAGTATGGTTTTACGCCACTTTTAGCAATATTCCAGCAATATCACGGCGTGGGACACCAGAAATGGACTTCACACATTGTACCCATGGGGGAATCGAACCCGGGCCTGTGAAGTGATGAGTGAACGCTTTAACCACGAGGCTACGCCACCCCACTTCACTGACTGTAGCTGTCACTGGTTTGAGTCATTACAGCAGTGTTCAAATTCAATGTGTGGACCTTCGAAAAATGATATTTATTGTGGGTATATATCAATCAGTGTTCGATATTTAACAATATAGTTAAAAACTCTTTAACTGAACATTGTTAACCTCATTTAAAAGTTTATGTTTTAAAAATGATCAATTTCCCTTTTCCCCAAAAGGCCAAATCCGCTCAAATGTACCAGTTGGTACCTGACATCGCATACAATGAACACTGGCCACATGCTAGGTATATACAGTTCATTGAAGGCATCTGAAGGCTCTGTACTGCTCCGCTTTTACTATCCAACATCCACTGGTCCAAAATACACAGCTATGATACATAACAAACTACCAAAGTCTGATTCAGATATTGCACTGGTAGACACAAGCTCATGTCATGGACACGTATACCCTTGTTCCCAAACCATTTACCTTTGAATACAGTCAAACCGTTTCATAAGAATCATGAGTCCAAAAACAAGAAGAGGTGGAGCTGTGTGTTAGCAACCAGTGGACGTCGGATAGTAAATGATTTAGCAGCTACTGTTTTTCCTGAAGTGCCATTATCAAACAGATTGATAATCAGCTCATCCCAAAGTCTTCACTGTATTTGACTTAACCTCTGTATATCACCAGAACATGTTTGCTATTTTCCCTCATACAGCTAACTTCTTACCCAAAATAGATAGTAAGTTAATCTGAGTTTTAATTTGTGAATCAGTTCAATAGTGAAATCTGGAAATATTCATTGGTTCCCTCATCTGCTGCAGTACTGTTCGTATACAAACAATGATATATTTGAGGTTTGCCAATCTCTGTCCCCATGTGATCCTGACATAAAATAGATATTGATATTCAGTGTCCAGAATAGACACTGCAAGGATTCTGTTTACATCTTTTAGTAATAGTACCATATTAAACATAGACTCAGCGTAAAACCATATTACACAATTATCAAGATTAGCATATGGGCATTTCATCTCAAAATGACAAAAATATTTCAATTGAATTTAATATCAGAATCTTAAAAAATTCAGAGATTCCTTAAACTTACTCAATCCTGTAGCCACAACGGTGATCAAATAACACAGAATAGGGCTGTAATGATACACTTGAAGGCAGTGCACAAAACATTGTATCCACAATGTATGTACTATGAAGAAGATGGAGTCAAATTTTAAACATGAAATTCAACTTCATGCAAAGCCCTTCAACGACACTTTGTAAATGTTTCTTTGCCTTATAGAGCGTAGACATATATAGTCTATCTTCAATGGATACACTCCATTATGATGTGATGTGTATCATGGAGAAAAGTTTAATAATGAGTCACTACTGTCCTATCAGTACTTCCTGGTTTGTACACACTGTGTCAGTACGCTCCACCATCCAGCATATACATATGGCTGCTTTGCAATGCAGTTGCTATTTTTACCAACGAATCAAACCACAGCTTGGTTCCAGCACAAGAGACACCAGCGATGACTAATGAGTGTTTAGATTACATCTGCAATATTTCTCCAGCAGCATGTGTCACAGTGTTACAGCCTCAACACATTGCCTCAGTGTCCGGCAATATATGGTTGGTTTGCACAAAGTTCCTGCACAGAGAAGGGCACATTGGACTTCCGTAAGTTATACATGGACTCAGTGACGCTGCCATTGACCTTATGTGTTCACGGGTGATGGAGGAACATAATGTGTGCAAACCGAGGAAATCCCCCGAGGGACAAACAATTTAACTTTCATGGAGGGGTCCTTTGAGTGATTTTTGTTTATCATTTCATCAATACATGCAACTTGTTATTAACTGATAATATGTGACAGAAACATCTTATAAATTCTTTGTTAGTTAAAGTGGATCAAAATGACTATTCTTTTCATTTTGTAATAAGAATAACAAGTTGGTAATTTAAAGTTAATAAAATATGAATTTTTCAAAATAATCCTAGATGTTTCAGTTGTACTGTTAATCTTTCCGTTTTGTCAGGACTTGGTACTGTAACAGACACTGCAACAATGGACATTTCAGTGAATTGTTACAGTCCTAATACACAATGGATCATGATTCTGTGAGTTCTAACTCCGAAGTGCCTCCAGCCTCGCTTTCATTTCATCCATTTCCTCTTCATCCTCCTCATCATCATGAGATGCAGATGGCCCGCCTGTTGCCCCCTCCAACTCCCCTGTTGGCAGAGAGTCATTGACAGCTGCTGGTGCCTTCCCGATCACACCTAGGAAGGAACAGGATCGTGAATAAATAGTGTGTTGCGCATGGTCAGTTATTTCATGCTGCTGTGAAGAAGCTACCTTGAGAAGGAAGGTCAGCTAAGTACATCAGTCAATGCAGATAGGGTACAGTACTAAAGCTTAGTGAACTGAGAACCTCCTCTGTTCAGGATGATGTGGATCTTTTTTCTAATTCTGTAACTTTAAAACTGAATATATGAAACCATTCTTGCTCTGATCTCAGCTTACCTGCGGTGATCTCAAAAAGGACCTTATCGACCTCCTCATCGGCCTCATCATCAAGGTCCTCATCATCAGCCATCTCCATTGCATCTTCCATCATTTCCTCCATGATCCCAGCCTACAACAGGAGCACCGACATTAGTGGTATACAGCCTACAACAGGGGCACCAACATTAGTGGTATACAGCCTACAACAGGAGCATCAATATAAGTGTTATACAGCCTACAACAGGAGCTCCGACATTAGTGATATACAGCCTACAACAGGAGCATCAATATTAGTGTTATACAGCCTACAACAGAAGGACCGACATTAGTGTTATACAGCCTACAACAGGAGCATCGACATTAGTGATATACAGCCTACAACAGGAGCATCAATATTAGTGATATACAACCTACAACAGGAGGTCCGACATTAGTGATATACAACCTACAACAGGAGCTCCGACATTAGTGATATACAGCCTACAACAGGAGCATCGACATTAGTGATATACAACCTACAACAGGAGCTCCGACATTAGTGATATACAGCCTACACTAGGAGCATCAATATTAGTGTTATACAGCCTACAACAGGAGCATCGACATTAGTGATATACAACCTACAACAGGAGCTCCGACATTAGTGATATACAGCCTACAACAGGAGCACCGACATAAGTGGTATACAACCTACAACAGGAGCTCCGACATGAGTGATATACAGCCTACAACAGGAGCTCCGACATTAGTGATATACAGCCTACAACAGGAGCTCCGACATTAGTGATATACAGCCTACAACAGGAGCTCCGACATTAGTGGTATACAGCCTACAACAGGAGGTCTGACATTAGTGATATACAGCCTACAACAGGAGCTCCGACATTAGTGATATACAGTCTACAACAGGAGCTCCGACATTGGTGATATACAGCCTACAACAGGAGCTCCGACATTAGTGATATACAGCCTACAACAGGAGCTCCGACATTAGTGATATACAGCCTACAACAGGAGCTCCGACATTAGTGATATACAGCCTACAACAGGAGGTCCGACATTAGTGATATACAGCCTACAACAGGAGGACCGACATTAGTGATATACAGCCTACACCAGGAGCTCCGACATTAGTGGTATACAGCCTACAACAGGAGGTCTGACATTAGTGATATACAGCCTACAACAGGAGCTCCGACATTAGTGATATACAGTCTACAACAGGAGCTCCGACATTGGTGATATACAGCCTACAACAGGAGCTCCTACATAAGTGATATACAGTTTACAACAGGAGCATCAATATTAGTGATATACAGCCTACAACAGGAGCTCCGACATTAGTGATATACAGCCTACAACAGGAGGACAGACATAAGTGATGTACAGCCTACAACAGGAGCATTGATATAAGTGTTATACAGCCTACAACAGGAGCTCCGACATTAGTGATATACAGCCTACAACAGGAGCTCCGACATTAGTGGTATACAGCCTACCACAGGAGCTCCGACATTAGTGATATACAGCCTACAACAGAAGGACCGATATTAGTGATATACAACCTACAACAGGAGCTCCGACATTAGTGATATACAGCCTACAACAGGAGCACCGACATTAGTGGTATACAACCTACAACAGGAGCTCCGACATGAGTGATATACAGCCTACAACAGGAGCTCCGACATTAGTGGTATACAGCCTACAACAGGGGCACCAACATTAGTGGTATACAGCCTACAACAGGAGCATCAATATAAGTGTTATACAGCCTACAACAGGAGCTCCGACATTAGTGATATACAGCCTACAACAGGAGCATCAATATTAGTGTTATACAGCCTACAACAGAAGGACCGACATTAGTGTTATACAGCCTACAACAGGAGCATCGACATTAGTGATATACAGCCTACAACAGGAGCATCAATATTAGTGATATACAACCTACAACAGGAGGTCCGACATTAGTGATATACAACCTACAACAGGAGCTCCGACATTAGTGATATACAGCCTACAACAGGAGCATCGACATTAGTGATATACAACCTACAACAGGAGCTCCGACATTAGTGATATACAGCCTTCACTAGGAGCATCAATATTAGTGTTATACAGCCTACAACAGGAGCATCGACATTAGTGATATACAACCTACAACAGGAGCTCCGACATTAGTGGTATACAGCCTACCACAGGAGCTCCGACATTAGTGATATACAGCCTACAACAGAAGGACCGACATGAGTGATATACAGCCTACAACAGGAGCTCCGACATTAGTGATATACAGCCTACAACAGGAGCTCCGACATTAGTGATATACAGCCTACAACAGGAGCTCCGACATTAGTGATATACAGCCTACAACAGGAGGTCCGACATTAGTGATATACAGCCTACAACAGGAGGACCGACATTAGTGATATACAGCCTACACCAGGAGCTCCGACATTAGTGGTATACAGCCTACAACAGGAGGTCTGACATTAGTGATATACAGCCTACAACAGGAGCTCCGACATTAGTGATATACAGTCTACAACAGGAGCTCCGACATAAGTGATATACAGTCTACAACAGGAGCATCAATATTAGTGATATACAGCCTACAACAGGAGCTCCGACATTAGTGATATACAGCCTACAACAGGAGGACAGACATAAGTGATGTACAGCCTACAACAGGAGCATCAATATTAGTGTTATACAGCCTACAACGGGAGCTCCGACATTAGTGATATACAGCCTACAACAGGAGCTCCGACATTAGTGGTATACAGCCTACCACAGGAGCTCCGACATTAGTGATATACAGCCTACAACAGAAGGACCGACATTAGTGATATACAGCCTACAACAGGAGCATCGATATTAGTGATATACAGCCTACAACAGGAGCTCCGACATTAGTGATATACAGCCTACACCAGGAGCTCCGACATTAGTGGTATACAGCCTACAACAGGAGCACCGACATTAGTGTTATACAGCTTACAACAGGAGGACCGACATTAGTGATATACAGCCTACAACAGGAGCTCCGACATTAGTGATATACAGCCTTCAATAGGAGCTCCGACATTAGTGATATACAGCCTACAACAGGAGGACCGACATTAGTGATATACAGCCTACAACAGGAGGACCAACATTAGTGATATACAGCCTACAACAGAAGGACCGACATTAGTGATATACAGCCTACAACAGCAGCTCCAACATTAGTGATATACAGCCTACAACAGGAGCTCCGACATTAGTGATATACAGCCTACAACAGAAGGACCGACATTAGTGATATACAGCCTACAACAGGAGCTCCGACATTAGTGATATACAGCCTACAACAGGAGCTCCGACATTAGTGATATACAGCCTACAACAGGAGGACCGACATTAGTGATATACAGCCTACAACAGGAGGACCGACATTAGTGATATACAGCCTACAACAGGTGCTCCGACATGAGTGATATACAGCCTACAACAGGAGCTCCGACATAAGTGATATACAGCCTACAACAGGAGGACCGACATTGGTGTTATAGAGCCTACAACAGGAGCTCCGACATTAGTGATATACAGCCTACAACAGGTGCTCCGACATGAGTGATATACAGCCTACAACAGGAGCTCCGACATAAGTGATATACAGCCTACGACAGGAGGACCGACATTAGTGATATACAGCCTACAACAGGAGCTCCGACATAAGTGATATACAGCCTACAACAGGAGGACCGACATTAGTGTTATACAGCCTACAACAGGAGCTCCGACATTAGTGATATACAGCCTACAACAGGAGCTCCGACATTAGTGATATACAGCCTACAACAGGAGGACCGACATTAGTGACATACAGCCTACAACAGGAGGACCGACATTAGTGATATACAGCCTACAACAGGAGCTCCGACATTAGTGATATACAACCTACAACAGGAGCTCCGACATTAGTGATATACAGCCTACAACAGGAGCTCCGACATTAGTGATATACAGCCTACAACAGGAGCTCCGACATTAGTTATATACAGCCTACAACAGGAGCTCCGACATTAGTGATATACAACCTACAACAGAAGGACCGACATTAGTGATATACAGCCTACAACAGGAGCACCGACATTAGTGATATACAACCTACAACAGGAGCTCCGACATTAGTGATATACAGCCTACAACAGGAGCTCCAACATTAGTGATATACAGCCTACAACAGGAGCTCCGACATTAGTTATATACAGCCTACAACAGGAGCTCCGACATTAGTGATATACAGCCTTCAACAGGAGCTCCGAAATTAGTGATATACAGCCTACAACAGGAGGACCGACATTAGTGATATACAGCCTACAACAGGAGCTCCGACATAAGTGATATACAGCCTACAACAGGAGGACCGACATTAGTGTTATACAGCCTACAACAGGAGCTCCGACATTAGTGATATACAGCCTACAACAGGAGCTCTGACATTAGTGATATACAGCCTACAACAGGAGGACCGACATTAGTGACATACAGCCTACAACAGGAGGACCGACATTAGTGATATACAGCCTACCACAGGAGCTCCGACATTAGTGATATACAACCTACAACAGGAGCTCCGACATTAGTGATATACAGCCTACAACAGGAGCTCCGACATTAGTGATATACAGCCTACAACAGGAGCTCCGACATTAGTTATATACAGCCTACAACAGGAGCTCCGACATTAGTGATATACAACCTACAACAGAAGGACCGACATTAGTGATATACAGCCTACAACAGGAGCACCGACATTAGTGATATACAACCTACAACAGGAGCTCCGACATTAGTGATATACAGCCTACAACAGGAGCTCCGACATTAGTGATATACAGCCTACAACAGGAGCTCCGACATTAGTTATATACAGCCTACAACAGGAGCTCCGACATTAGTGATATACAGCCTTCAACAGGAGCTCCGAAATTAGTGATATACAGCCTACAACAGGAGGACCGACATTAGTGATATACAGCCTACAACAGGAGGACCGACATTAGTGATATACAGCCTACAACAGGTGCTCCGACATGAGTGATATACAGCCTACAACAGGAGCTCCGACATTAGTGATATACAGCCTACAACAGGAGGACCGACATTAGTGATATACAGCCTACAACAGGAGCTCCGACATTAGTGATATACAGCCTACAACAGGAGGACCGACATTAGTGATATACAGCCTACAACAGGAGCTCCGACATTAGTGATATACAGCCTACAACAGGAGCTCCGACATTAGTGATATACAGCCTACAACAGGAGGACCGACATTAGTGATATACAGCCTTCAACAGGAGCTCCGACATTAGTGATATACAGCCTACAACAGGAGCTCCGACATTAGTGATATACAGCCTACAACAGGAGCTCCGACATTAGTTATATACAGCCTACAACAGGAGCTCTGACATTAGTGATATACAGCCTTCAACAGGAGCTCCGAAATTAGTGATATACAGCCTACAACAGGAGGACCGACATTAGTGATATACAGCCTACAACAGGAGGACCGACATTAGTGATATACAGCCTACAACAGGTGCTCCGACATGAGTGATATACAGCCTACCACAGGAGCTCGGACATTAGTGATATACAGCCTACAACAGGAGCTCCGACATTAGTGATATACAGCCTACAACAGGAGGACCGACATTAGTGATATACAGCCTACAACAGGAGCTCCGACATTAGTGATATACAGCCTACAACAGGAGCTCCGACATTAGTGATATACAGCCTACAACAGGAGGACCGACATTAGTGATATAAAGTCTTCAACAGGAGCTCCGACATGAGTGATATACAGCCTACAACAGGTGCTCCGACATGAGTGATATACAGCCTACAACAGGTGCTCCGACATTAGTGATATACAGTCTACAACAGGTGCTCCGACATGAGTGATATACAGCCTACAACAGGTGCTCCGACATGAGTGATATACAGCCTACAACAGGTGCTCCGACATGAGTGATATACAGCCTACAACAGGTGCTCCGACATTAGTGACATACAGCCTACAACAGGAGCTCCGACATTAGTGATATACAGCCTACAACAGGAGGTCCGACATTAGTGATATACAGCCTACAACAGGAGCTCCGACATTAGTGATATACAGCCTACAACAGGAGGACCGACATTAGTGATATACAGCCTACAACAGGAGCTCCGACATTAGTGATATACAATCTACAACAGGAGCTCCGACATTGGTGATATACAGCCTACAACAGGAGCTCCGACATTAGTGATATACAGCCTACAACAGGTGCTCCGACATTAGTGATATACAGCCTTCAACAGGAGCTCCGACATTGGTGATATACAGCCTACAACAGGAGCTCCGACATTAGTGATATACAGCCTACAACAGGTGCTCCGACATTAGTGATATACAGCCTTCAACAGGAGCTCGGACATTGGTGATATACAGCCTACAACAGGAGCTCCGACATTAGTGACATACAGCCTACAACAGGAGCTCCGACATTAGTGATATACAGCCTACAACAGGTGCTCCGACATTAGTGATATACAGCCTTCAACAGGAGCTCGGACATTGGTGATATACAGCCTTCAACAGGAGCTCCGACATTAGTGACATACAGCCTACAACAGGAGCTCCGACATTAGTGATATACAGCCTACAACAGGAGCTCCGACATTAGTTATATACAGCCTACACCAGGTAGGCTCTTAGTCCATTCTGAACAGTCAAAAGGCATAAGGATTACCATTTAGTCTATTTTTAGCCTACTCTGCCCAGAGTAATATTCTAGTTCTGGATTGGTCATCTCCCAAATCATCAAACTTGATGGCCACCTGATTCTAGTCGGGGCTTGTAACATCCTTACCTTCATCATCTCCTTGGACATATCTCTCATTGTTGCCTGAATCTCGGGCACCTTCACCAGCGCCTGCATTGACGTCATCACCTGGGTGCTCTTCTCCAGCGCTCCTGCCAGTCGCAGCGAGGCTGGTGACAAAAGCATTTACCGTCAACCATCTCGTCAACATATTGTCAACCATTTAAGTACATCAAAACCTATGCTCTTTACCAGCATGTGAGGCAGCGTGAGTTGGGTTTGAACAGTATTCTGGTTATATCCCGGTGTGTCAGCTTAATGTGGGACACAAGCCCGGAGTAATGTAGGTCTAAAATGTTTACCACTTTGGTGAAACCCATGAGCACGGGAAAGGTGCTGACAAACCTAGAAACATACATAATTGAGGCAAACTGTGATTCAAACCCACAATCATAGGCTCCTGGTCTGCGCAAGGAACACAACTCTACACAGCGAACTGAAACATCTTAGACGACTGGGCCACATCCTGCATGTTCAGGTCCAGGGTACCCGAAAATGACAGAGCAGCTGGCAACACAAGCTAATACTAACATTACCATTAACCATCTTGTCAACCATTTAAATACATCATCACTAGTGTTCTAATCCAGGGGCCCTGGAAATCACAAGGCTTGCAATAAAAGCAAATACAAACATTACCATCAACCATCTTGTGAACCACGTAAATCTGATTACATCAACACCATGGCCAATAGTTTACTTGTATTCGTGATAGGTATTATTTGGATATTACTTAAGCAACAAGTTGACCAAAAGGGGGGGATAATCAGCCAACCATTCTGTCGTTGAGACCGTGCGGGTGGAACGTTTTTAGCTCAAAGATCCGTCTCAGTTCGAGTGCTCTACTCTTAACTGTGGTGTCAGTAGACTCAGGGTTTTCCTTGAGCTGTGCTATGATGTTATATCTAACATCTTTGGCGCTGTGATCATCACAATTAAAGTGATTGGCTACAGGTTTGTCTCTCTAGTAGCTGATGTCTGCAAAGTGTTCTTTCAGTCTGGTCTGAAATTCTCTTTTGGATTCCCCGACGTATTGTTTCTTGCATTTGTTGCAAGTAAGCAAGTGAACTATGTTTTTACTTGTACATTCAAATTTGTGGGTTTTGAATGTTTTACCTAATGTCGAGCTGCGGAACGTATGTGTTTTGCTTAAGGAATTGCAGATTTTGCATCCTACTCTTTTGCAACTCTCATCTATGAAGTTGACTACCTTGCCGCTAATTTGCGGTTTGGTGGGTGGATAGTTTAATACTGTCCTGACTAGGTAATCCTTGATTGTAGGATTCCTTCTATAGGCCGAGACATGGGGAATTGAGAAACAACTTTTGCAAGTGTCAGATCCGGTGAGTAGATGCCACCGGTTTCTGATGATCCTGTTGAGCTCCATGTTCAATGGATTGTAATCGCTAATGAGCACCTGTTTCCTGATTGGAGCAGGTTTGGGTTTGGTTGCTAAGAGTGATTCTCTTTTGCAAGTGTCTGCCCGGGATTTGTTTTGTTGTAGTGTCTTATTGGGGTAACCCCTTTTGAGGTAGTATTTGATGAGATTTCTACTGTGTGTGTCATAGTCTGATTCAGAAGAGTATTATGTATTACTACTGCCGAACCTTTATCAGCTTTTTTAATGATGATTTCACTATTGTTTTTGAGCTGTTGTAGTGCAGTTCTTTGCGCGCCGGTGATAACATATCTAAGGCCCGTTTGAGGTCACGAGAATTGTTTCCTTGGTTGCCCCTGTCGGGGCGGAAGTTCTGTCATGGTCTGCGTGGTCCACGAGTTGATCACATGATGGTTGTCTCGAGCGGCGATACTTGGGAGATTTAGCCCGTTACTGGGTTGGGGTCCCTTGCACCTAAAATTTGGCAGCAAAGGGGTCAGATTTGATGGCCGCCTGTTGTAGGCTCACAAATCTGGTGTTGAATTTTTCATGTGTAGACTTGTGTTCTCTATCTTTGACTGCTTGACAGGCAGTGTTGATGATGTTTTGAGAGTTTTGGTCCGCTTTGGAGATGATTTTATCTTCCAAGAGTTTCACTGATTCATTCACTGAAACAAGCTGGCGTTCTAAAAGTTCTTTTTGTGTACTCATGAGTGTAGTACAGCAGGTCTTAACAGCATTGCTGCGCTGTAGGGCGAGATCCATGGGGTACATGGTTTGTGTGACCGGTAGTATGATCAGGAACTGGCCTGGTACCAGTCCACCTGTGATACACGCACCTAAGTAGTCTGACTGTACTTGAGTGCGTGCACGTTTGCTCACTGCGTTACAGAGATATTTGTAGAATTGCATAAGATCCGGTGGTAAAGACACTGCTTTGGTCTCAACGCCAGTGTTGGCGCGGATGTTACCGAATGTAATCCGTTTCCGTTTTAAAGGATTGCCTTCATCTTGGTCTAGATGGACATCAACTTCTATTTCCGTGGTGATGGAAGTAGAGCTCTCGAAATTCGAGATGGACGGGGCCGGCGTTATGTTGGTCGACATTACTTAAGCAAAACAATTTTATCATTTTTCATCCGGGTTGAAATATTCAAAAACTAAATTTTACCTTAAATCCTATCTTGATACATAATGCTAAATCTGATTGCATAATACTCTGAGAATGAGTCTGAACTAACAAATCAGGTTAGACACAAACTGGTCGAACCTATTCTCAGCTTGGCTGCATGGAACATGGGACAATTTTAATCACACACAGTGTAAATAAGTAAGGCAATATGTATTGTGACTGAACATGCTGATGATACATATCATATCATGTGCTAGACGAAGGTTTCACCCTATCCCGAAACACTACTAGTTCTGTGTACTCACCAAGCTGGTTCTTCATACTCATTTGGATAGAGCTGATGTGAGCTTTGGACGTATATAGTTTGTTGACAACCTTCCTGGCCTTCATGATCTCCTTGGCGAGGATCCTGCAGGATTCCGTTTCTCCTCGCTTAGCCGATGCCTTCAGCAGCTTCTTCGTCTTCTCCTCTTCCCTTTGTATGGCTGAAACCAGGGAGGCAGCAACAGAGTTAATGCATAGTCAGGCCTACAACAAAGATGATGTGGTTCCGACAGCACAGCTGACACAGGATTTAAATGGGTCTATCTATTTTTTCAAATCCAAAGCCCTCTCTTGTTTTTGGGTCTGAACACGTTGGGCCCAGGCTGGTGACCTGTGTCCAATCTCAATAAATCAGATGTTCACTTACAATCTCAATAAATCAGATGTTCACTTACAATCTCAATAAATCAGATGTTCACTTACAATCTCAATAAATCAGATGTTCACTTACAATCTCAATAAATCAGATGTTCACTTACAATCTCAATAAATCAGATGTTTAATCCAATATGATACCTGCCTGCATGAAGATTTAAGGACACCTCCATAGAAGGTCGGTTGGTCCACATTGCCTGGGTTTTAGTCCAGACCAAATGCATTGCTCAAAATCAACAACGTAAGTTTGTTTGTCCGAGACTTGTAAAACTAAGGAAGAACTAGTGACATTTCCTTGTGGGCCTCCACTTCTATAAATAACATACCTTTTATCTGCCTCTCAAGGTTGTAACCTTCCTTTCTCATTTTGTGCGTCCATTCTTGGACCTGGAAACGCAAAACAGTCATGTAATGGCCAAGGACAGGTAACTCAGGTTCCCAAATTTAACATTCATGTTGCCACTCTAACTTCATACATGCTATAGGCATCATAAGCACGATAAGGCCTCAGTACTTTGATCAAGACAGTACATCTCTAACTTGGGGCCATGCAAGAAGAAGCCAAGATATTACCCATGAAGCACAGAGTGAAACAATTAATCCAGTGTTGCAGATATCCTTACTTAGTGCCAGTAGAAATTATTTTTCCATAAAACAAAGTTTACAATTTGCTTCCAATATTTGGGTGAGTTTTTCCCAGTGTCTTTTTCATATACTTTACAGCACTGAATAATTACAGTAGTATTTTACTATTTCTCTAATATTTATAATATTCCCTAGTAATGAAACAAGTAAGACACATCATAATCCCCAGCACACAATAACAAGTGACGATAACTGGTCCTCGGACACAGCTGGTCGACAGCCATTGCATTTAATGGTATAACAACAGTGTGTGTATTTAGGATATACCCAACGCAGCCGTTTCAGCTTGCGTACCCAAATATCTTTACACATTTCTATCATGCTCATTTACTGATTGAATGCAGGCATCACCTATTTAAGAAGTCTTCTGCAGTGAATAATGTACAAAAGGGGTACCTCCCACTCATTGTAACTGAGATATGTATCGCTATTTAGAGCACTACTCATTTGGCTTTAAAATCCCCAATAAACTGGATCCAAGGGAGTAAACATACCTTGAATCTCCTAAGAAAACTATGAAATACCCAATGTGAATGATAACTTGCAAGTGAATATGTTCCAGGGCTAAAAAGATTATCCAGAGCCCTGTAGACAATATATATATATATACTGATCAAACAAAAGTTCCTGTGACATTGAATAAGATTTAATGCAAAGTTCCGTTTTTTACCAAATATGAAACAATTTCAGTTTGCAACAGATAAAAGACTCCTGTAAGTGTTCAAATGGTTAATTTGCCATACTGACTTCAGAAAATGTGTGAGTTCATAAAAAACATGAACATGCCAAAATGTCAATTTACAAATCAATAGCGTGTGTGTCCACCTCTGGTTGCAATGCAAGCAACACATCTTCGTCTCATGAAATGGATCAGGCATCGCACAAAGTCCTGTAGGATATCCGTCCATATCTGCTGGAGCACGTTTCGAAGTTCCTGGAGTGTCTGTGGAACACCTGGTTGACGTCGAAGGCGCGGATCCATCTCATCCCACATGTGCTTGATTGGTGAGAGATCAGGGGAGTGAGCCGGCCAGGGGATGACATTCACGTTGTTTTGTTGAAGAGAATCCTGAACAAGTCAAGCAATATGAGGCAGGGCATTGTCATGTTGAAAGGTAATGCCTGGGCCATGACGACGCAAAAACGGTAGCACAACAGGGCTTATGATCTCGTCGCGGTAGCGCTGTCCATTGAGATTTCCCTCTTCCACTATCAAACGGGTCCTCTGTCTTGCTGTAATCCCACCTCATACCATAACGCTGCCGTCCCCAAACGATCTTCTTCCATGACACAATGATTGACATAACATTCACCTCGACGTTGGTAGACTCGAATCCGTTCATCGCTGTGGCTGAGGTGAAAACGAGACTCGTCAGTGAATAGAACTTGTCCCCACTGCATGGCCGTCCAGCGTAGACGCTGTCTGCACCACTGTAGACGTGCTTGACGGTGGTTTCCTGTCATAATGGGACGTCTGGCGGGTCTTCTGGCGACAATCCCGGCACATCTGAGGCGACGACGACGTACGGTTTGTGAAGATATTCGTCGAAGGACAGGGATGCTTCTTGCTGGCTGGAATCGATTTTGTAGGTGTGTAGGTGTGTTGTTCGAATCCAGTTGTCTTGTCGATTATTGGTTACGCGTGGCCTGCCACTCCGAGAATTGTCTCTGACTGCAATCGTCTGTAGCCAACGTTGCCATAAACACCAAATGGTGTTTCTGTGGACGTTAAATTGTCTTGCAACATCAAGTTGACTCGATCCTATTTAAAGCATACCAATGGCTTGCAGGCGTGGCATTTCGTAATGTTGAATAATTGCATAATTTTGTTGTTTTTCTGAGTGTTTGTTGTCAGCACAATGCTAAACAATGCATATGGAATCCCGTTAACGCCCATGTTTTTATACCCATTCTTGGGTAGTGAAATGCATTGGGCTTGCATAAAAGTCAACTATTGCATGGAATGCATGCTTTTCTGTAGCAGTTGCATTTTTGTGACTTGATTCAATACATCTACTTCAATACTGAAAACCAAACTTTACTTGTTTGAAAAATACACTAAAATATTGGTGTCACAGGAACTTTTGTCGCTGAGTATATATAGTATATACAGTATCCCATAACTCTTTTTTTTAGAATAGAACATCTGCATGTCAATGACTTAATTAATGTGTAGTCCCGGAAGGTTGACAATATTCACCAGGCAGTCACAAGCAGCTATTAGTTGGACTCTTGAAGTTCATTTCAGTTCTCCACTGGCATGTATGATCACTGTTTTCATGTTTATGATCCTTAGACTATAAATAACATTTTTCTGTTTATGTTTTTCATTTATCAAAACCATTTCCTTGAATGTTAGTAGGGCAGTACTTCTAATACCATGATTATAGAGCACACCATTTTTTATTTAAATTAGCACTGCATTGAGGATCAAACTCTTAAAGCCAGCTTGACCTAAGCTCAGCTAATTACATTATTGAATTAGCCAACACATTACCACAACGGTTATGACAAATAATTAGTGCTTGTTTACCTAGTAATCAGCACCTGGGGGTTTACAGAGTGTTTTGTCAGTTTTTCTCGCTAAACTCGAAACTTGACAAAAACAATTATGGATGTGCCTCAAATGACATTGGACTAAAATGTTACCCTAACTCACATCTGACCCTAAGGATGATAAGGGGGTGTTTGATAGGAAAGGGGTACCTAGCCCTAACATTCATTATGAGAAGCTTGATCGGAAAATGGGGTGCAGGCTAAAACTGCACCCCAGCAAAACGTCACCGATTTCTCTGGCGGAAACGGCACCGCATTTGGCGAAAACGGCTACTATGTGTCGGGTGAAAACGGCACCTCTATTTTTAATGAGGATAAGAACAATTTTTGTAGTAATATATATATATGGTTTATTTACATGGTCACAGTTATCACAGCATGTTGTTGTTTTCTGACATTCTTCTCTCATGCAACACATCGAAATGCCATTGTGAATAATTGTGATCTGACAGCACCATGTTAGGCCTCTTAAATACAGTTTCAGCTTGTATTGAGTAAAGGTACTTAAAACTTCAAAGCGTATAGTGTTTTCACATTAAGTTAACTGCACCCCCAATCAGTCGGTGAGTAAATTGGAGTAGGGGTCTAATTTCTTATTGTTTTATTTCACAATTTCACAATTATTTGTGTTTGTAAGAGACGACGTGAGTTTAATTTCTATTTTTTTTCTTCAAAGCATGTCACATTTTCACAATAAGTTGTGTTGCGTATAAGCTAAGTTGGATTATAGTTGGAGTAGAGGCTAATTTCTAATGTAAACTTGTTTTAGCATCTCACAATTATTGGTGTTTGAAAGTTACCATATAAGTTTAATAGCACTTATTTGACCAAGGTAAAAGAAAAATAAGGTGCCGTTTTCGCCAGGCAATAGTAGCCGTTTTCGCTTAAGTCGAGGTGCCGTTTTCGCCAATCGGTGCCGTTTTCGCTATAACCCGGAAAATGTACCAAGGGTAAGGATGGAGCTGGAGTAACCTACCCTAGCCCCAAGGATCTAAGAGGTAATCTGCAGTCTTGCCATTGACAATACTTAGTTGACAATAGTGAGTGTTGCTCTAGATAAACTAGACAATCTAGTCACATGTCTGACTCAGGAGTCACGCGAATTCATATGAAGCTGGATCTATGTTTATACACATTTTATTCTGGTATTTCTGAAATGTATCCCAATGTCTCGACCAACATACAGTCCCACAAAAGAGACACTTGTTAGATTTAAAGCATAAACACATACTCGTGCGTAAGACTACCTGTTCCATAAATCAATCAAAGACACCTGTCGCAAATAGAAGTATGAATCATATCGTATTTGGCTTGAAGTTTTACACTGACAGATCAAATTTTCTTCAGGGAAATGCTTGCTGTTATCCTGATAACAGTTTCTTGGTTGGTGAATCGTGTACTTACCAACTCTTTGGGTGGCTTTTCGTGACCCTTTCCAAACAAACCCATTGCTGTTTATCAAGAAATAATCAACGCTTTTACAATAATGTCATGGTAAAATTTCAGAGATTGCTAAATCGGAACTCATCCAAAACTTCCGCATTGACATGCGTAATCACTACTTCCTGAATAAACAAAAAGGGAAATAACTCCTGACTGTCGACGATGAGCGGTGAAGTTTTAGATGGTTGCACTTATAATAAGCGACGTGCATGTACGTGTGAATGTTCATGTGTGTGGTCTTTGATATGGATACCTCACTGAGATTCAGACACAGTATACGGATCAGTCACCAGTACGTGCTTTGTTTTATCCCCACAATAAAGAGAGATGCACTCGATACTGATACAAGACGGCACCCCCTGACGGCTTTCGGCTAAATACTTCTGTTCAAAATAGTGTTTGGGATTTATTTTCACGACACCAGTGACTTTTAAAGAGATAAACGATAAAGCCATTCTAGGACATTTCACGATTTTACCAATTCAGGATAGGCTCTCTTCGATATTGCTAATCTTGGAAAAATAGTTTCAGGACATTTCAGTCAATATCCCAGAATGTAGGCCGATCTGAAACTCTGCGACACGTACGCCCGTCGGGGATGTAGCCAATATAGGTAACACGGAGGCTGCCTGTCCCCTTTTGGTACGCAGGGTTCGGGGGCTATTTTAGAGTGCAGTGTAAAACGCAGAACGCCAATAAAATCCTTTTTGGTACGCATATTTGACATTTACAAAATAATGGCTTGCGAAAACCATGCCTTAATATTTTACCATATATTTTTCAGTAGTTTTACTTCAGGTAGCACCCTTCTATAACCTGGGAACGTGTTCTTAGGTTTACGTCTATCGAATTAGCAAACACTTGACCAATGTTGTTATGACAAATAATTAGTTATTAGCTGAAAGCCGTCAGAAAACGGCTTTTACAGTCACTGGTATACAAAGTATATTAAATGGACGAAATGACCAACCTTAATTTGAGGGGTCTCTGTAGAAGTGCAAACAAGAGATGAACTGTCGCCTGTTAACAATAAAGATTTGACCCATTGGACAATATATGAGTTAAAACAAACACACCCATGTTATAAAGCTTTTGCATGAGTAAGTGAGGCTGTATGATATTGAAAGCGGATGGAAAATCGAGGAACAATATTCTTACGTACGATTTACGAGTACCGTTAGATGGGGCTATATAACTTTATAGCTTTTGTGAAGCATCATCGACACCTTTGTTGGGCCTATTCTCTATATGCAAGTTGCAAAGGATATGCTGAACTTAATAACAATAACAAATAATAACAATAATGTTCAAGGGATTATTGAAGTTAAAGCTACAAGGCGATAGTCATTGGCTCCTAGTCATTGAGTACAGTTGGTTTTTTGTTTTTGGAAACAGGTACTATGTTAGAATGTTTTCCATACTAGAGGAACGTGAAGGAAATCTTTTGAACTATGCCGCACAACTGCTCACTGCATTCTTTTAATACTGTGTCATGATATATATTTGATATTTTGCTAGGGGGTGTCTATGTTGAAACACACAACTTTTATCTGTAAGATATCCGTGTTCGACCCTTCAGGTAAGCTCGTCTAGTACAGTACTAAGCAGTCAATATGGGCATTGCTTCGTTTGATATGCATCCACTGTGAGCAAGTCACTTATTTTTTGAACGAGGCGACAACTCAACATTAGACTTGAAACATGGCTGTGATCCAGGGCCCCGTTCCACAATCGATCGTAGCGCTAATAGGATGATCGTAACTCCCATACTTTAACATAGGCTTACGATAGTCGTAATGCTGAGATGGCTTTGTGGAACGGGATCCTGTTTAGCCATAGGCCTACATCCGCGTGGAGCAGGAAGGGAACCAGTCAAGTTGTTCACGTCACGTGATGCTATGACAGTCTCGCGAGATATATGACGTCGCCTTGACGACAGTTTCACTGTTGATACCGCCATTGATGTGCTGTAACAATACTATCATATTGCTGCTTGTTTCCTGCTGGTTGCTTCGTTTTTAGCTCATCTCCGCTTGTGAAAACCATGAGCTCATACACCCAAGGTACTCCTTTATTTCTGAATTAGTCCTTTTGGTGTTTTTCTTTCTTTTCAGGCTCATTTTCTTAATTAAATTTGAAGTAAGCCGGAATCTAAATCTGTCGAACAGAAGACATTTCATTACAAGGTCCAACGGTCCTTGATTACTGGCAGATTTAAAAGGACACGTGCTTTGCCGGTCCTTCCCTTTGATAACTTCCCTTGATATCCATGGTCAGGCTGAGGAGAATGGAATTAATAATATAGACCATCTGCACACCTCAATTACCAGGCAATTAACTGATCAGTTGCAAAGAATTAATGGACCTCCAATCAGTGTATGTACAATACAACGGTCAGGCAAAGTACAAGTATATTCTATCCGATTAGCTCACTTGGGTTAATTTCCAGACAAGACAAGAATACAGTTAACTGCTGCTACCGGTAACACATTTGGGGCAACACCTGAATACTTGCATATTTGTAGTCAAATGAAACAGAATTGTAAGCAGAATAATTGAATGAGAATATGTGAGTAAATACACACACATAGGGGTTTACAGTTAGTGCCAATCCTGTATATCGTAATAATTCTGTAGCTATTTTATAAACATTATCATACTTAACTATTTATGCAACATTTGTATCTTATCTACCAGGTGCTTTTTCGTACCAAAGGTGATCAATTATTTTTTTATGATGTGTTAACATTTAACATGTTTAAACTAATGATGTGATCACCACCATTTACTTTTGAAAATATATTAATTGACAATTTCAATTGACAATGGATCATGGGGATCACTTTTAAATATTCTAAAATTGGTTTCCATGCTGTATGGTTGATCCTGTCTGGTTTATTCCCTTCTCACACAGTCATTTCTTCTTTTCTGACAGCTCTTGACCTCGTGATCAGGTTCCCTTTGAACTTTGACATCTGGGCCCCTCCTCGCCAAGTGGGTGTCTTAGGGAATCAGTAATTTACTGTTATTCTAATCAATTACTAACAGGTCATACCAAAACATTTACTATTGATTTGGAAAGTTATATTCATGAGCATTATTAACCACGTATCATTATCACTAACGTTCTTATAATCACAACTATCTTCTTTTTGATCCATTTCCTACAACTACCCTCTTTTTCCTGTACTCCTATCTTCTGTCTCTCTCTACATGTCCTTCTCTCCCTCCCTGTCAGCGTCCTACCGGGAGGTACATGACCATCCTTGAACCCCTGTCAGAACTCCCCGTCCCTTCCACCTCTATCCCCGACCCCGCCCCTCTCTCTGCCTCCGTCCTCCGTGATGCCCCTCACTTCGTCGATATCAACCTGGATGATGACGACACCCCGACCCAGTCCCTAGTTCGAGTCTTCCTGTCACGTGTGTCTGGATTCTTGAGGAGAGTGTTCCGTGTCAAGATGGACGCTTAAAGTGACATCTTACTACCTCGTGGAACTTGTGTAAAAAATAAATGCTATAGTGCTCTTTACATTTTGGACCTTTCGGACATTTGTTATTTTTGGGACATTTCGGTCATGTAGGACCATTTTGTTATGTTTTGACCTTAGAATAAATACGTTTTAAAGTACTAAATCTTCTTTGGGTTTTGGGGTCTTTTAAGAGAACTGGGGCATTTTGGATGACTTGTGAAAAGATGAAATATGTTGTTTGTATTTTTGGCTCTTTCGGACACTTTTGGCGTTACACTTTGAAGTTTGGACTTAATTAAATCATTATAATTCAATATTTATTGTTGTTTTGTTTTTTCCACCTCATCGGTTCTTGTTTAGTTGCGTTGTTATTACCATCTCCTTGGTTTGTCAGCCCCCTATACCCCTGTGCTTTTGGGTTTCACCAAAGTGGTAAACGTCTGCAGGTAAACGAGCGATGTCAAGACCTGCATTGTGAGCACAAAGAACATGGCACACAAGAGGATATCTTTACATGCAGTGGGGCGGACATACCCTGTCCGACACAGCCCAACTATTGGCAGGATTTGAGTGCTACTGGATGTTGTTTCACGCTATATTCAGCAGTATTCCAGCTACAAACCACTGATTGTTGTCAGGGTAGGAAGACACACTGCCATCCAAGACACTGACCCAATTCTAACCGGAATCGCCACAGTCACCAAAGTGCCAACCATGAACATTCATAATAAAACTGCACTTATGTGTGATTAATTTGTTAAGATATTTCTAGAAGTTTCTAAAGTATTTCCCACTTCACATCAGCTAAGATGCAAACTATTCCCTACATATTGGGTTCTGAAATGGAAAGAATTTCATTTTCAGTTTTGTGTGTCATGAAATGCAAATCAGCAAGTCTTAACAAATAACCTTATAATTTGGGTGTTTCCTTGTTTTTGAAATAAGCAGATTGCTCTTCACTGCTACTTTATTACATTTAGTTTAGAATTCTCAAGTTTACTTTTGCAAGGGCTCCCTTTCTATACAACTTCTTTAAAGCTGTCACCAAGTGCGTGTATTGTGCGACAAGACGTTTAGAAAACACAAATAAATCTACAATGCTATAATATTGCACTTAAGTTAATAGTGAAATTGACTTTGATAACTGCACTTACATAGTGACGTGCATGTTCGTGTGTATACACGTGTTTGTGTGGCTGCAAAAGACGTTAAAAAGTGGTACTTGTTGTTGCCCTGTCTGGTGCTCGGCTTTAAGGGACTAAAACAAGGACAGGTCATTTCGGAGTCCGTATGCTGTGTTTGAGTGGGGGTATTCATGTTAAGCTGCGGCATGGTATGTCAGTGGGCTAGCACGAGAAAATCTGCTTTAGTCCGGACCAGTACACACGCACGCACGCACCCTTATGTCACTATAAATAAGGTCAATAATCTTGAACGCGACGTTAAACCCCATTTCAACTCAGCGTAAAACAGCATTCACTGACTGACTTGGCCAGGGAGACGCAATCGCATATCAAACAGACAGATAAACTGGGGTTTGAACCGACTGCCAACCAACTAACGGGTGCCATAATATTTCAGTCTGCTTCAAAGAAACCACATGTTTTCTAGAGTTTGACACCAACGAACCCTCATTAATATGATCAAACACATGATGAATGTATCAAGAACACTAAACACGTGTTAATTAGACTCAAGATTGTTACACAAATGCTTTAAATATGACAGAATCATCTACGTATTTCTTTCAGATATATTTAATTGAACGTACCTGAATATATAGTATAATCGTCCCACCTACTCCGCTAATAGCCAGCCGTGTAGGTTAGCAAGCTGCATATGCCGCTCACTGTTTAGGATTTCGACCCCCGACCCCGCCACACACACACACACACACACACACACACACACACACACTCCCTACAACAAATATTTTATTCATAGAGATTATGGGAAAGTGTAATATTTATAATAATTTAACCCATATTTGGCTACTGCAGATATCTCAGTTCTTGGCAGTTCTTAAAAGGAAGAATATATACATGTTATTAAAGTATTTATTTTCAAAAGGAGGTGTTCCTGTTTTATCCTAGTTCATATAACACAAGAGGAATTTTACATATTCAATGTCGATGTAGTAAGCTGTTGTACACATGCACATATTTATCTTGCAGGGTATATTCATGTGTTCGAAAATGAGTACAATCAAACGCATCATCTATCCACTGTAGACTTCATCACTTCATGGTAGGCAGCTGTAGTCCCTCCTGTGGGGAGGGGAGGTCGGTAGGGGTGTGTGTGGGTGGGTGGGTGGGGGGGGGGGGGGGGGGGGGGGGGGGGGTCAGGTTATAAACAATAGGAGGACGAGACAATAGACTGGGCGTGTCCCCACGTGCTCGTATAATACGACTGGAGCAGAGCCGAGAACAGCAAATGCCATGTTGTGCGATCTTTGGTAGTCTTCAAGACAAATGGTGGCGAATATCTCAAGCGGTT